AGTTTGGTTAGGTTAGGTTAGGTTAGGTTTGTATAGGCGACACTAAAACACTGCTATATTAGTTTGGTTAATGGCAAGCGTATATAGGAACTTTGGTATGTTTTGGGTGTTGCAGGGGAGTTGTGGGTGTTGCAGGGGAGTTGTGGGTGTTGCAAGGGAGTTGTAAGTGTGGGACGGGGGGTAGGTAAGCAAGGACCCACCCCTCTCCTTCCAACCCTCTCTCTTCATACTAGGCCGTGGAGACTCAAAACAGGTTCCCTCCAAGCTAACACACGCACTACCCCCTCCTGCCAACACATTCTCACAACAAATATATTATTAAAACCTTGGAGGGAGACATATTAGGAATGTACACGCCTCACATCGAGAGAGAGATAAAAAAAAAGGCAACATAACTTCCATTAGAACCAAAGCAATGAGGCAGAACATGTAAGCTTTTAAAACCCCAACGGCGCTTGTTTGTTTATCCTAGTCTAACACGTCTCCAGGCGCCGATCATTCTGCTGGCCTACATAACTACTACGCCATTACTCCCAGCACTTAATCTCCATAAACAAATTGATATACATAATGTAATACTATTTGATATATAAAAATAAAAGACCTATCAGATCAAAACATCACTTTAGTCATCGACCATATGTTTACAAGAGCCGATAAGGGAGAAAATGTATAAAATTGCATATGGCGTCCCAGTGTTTACCAGTTGGCCTTGGCGTCTCGGAGGGGAAGGGGATACGCCACAGTGGGAGGAAGGGGTGTGGGGACTTGGGTTTAATTTCCAGTTTGACACGAAACCCATCTGAATTAAATCTCCTTTGATCATCCAGACTATCGGTGTTGGTAAGCCCCTCCAAGCTAGTATATTCATTGTCGTCTGGATGAAGGCTTACTGACTGATACAGCTATTCTTAGTATCTCTTTTAAGTTACACAACCCTCGGTTTTAAAGACGATATTTTTTTTGCTTGATTTACCCTTATAATATATTCAATTTTCTCTGGCTTTATCTTTCAATCTACTGTCGTGTTCCTGAATTTAATTACTTATCGTCTCCATGGTTAACGAATTTTAGCAGCTCACCTGTAGATTATTTCACCTGATGATTCAACCTTTATCTTAACGCTACTCGTGGGTGGGTGTTTGTTTTGTTAGCTAAGTTAGGTTAGGATAGGTTAGCATTAGGACTGGATTTGGTTAGGTTAGGTTAGCATTAGGGTGAAATAAACTAGGGGTGTTTAATCTTCAGGTGGTCCATTATAGCTTTATATACATATTTCAAAATTAAATTAACATATAAATATTCCAATACACAATGTCAATGAATTTGGTACAAGATTTTATCATTACGAACAAATTACAGCAATAACAATACCCATAAATAATGTTGTTTTCCATTAACGTCACTAATTTAGTTTTACACCTGGATAATATCGTCTGTCCTGTTTAATAATAATAATAATAATAATAATAATAATAATAATAATAATAATAATAATAGTGTTTTATTGGATATGATAAATGCATTAAGTAATTATATCCATTATGGGGTAAAACTCTTGGGCTAAAATATGCTGGTTTGTGTCTGAACTGAAAAATAATGGTATTACACTACCATAAATTTTATTATGCAATATATTGACGCGATTCGTATCACCTGATGATTAGTCCACCCAAGTTTATTTCACCTGATGATTAACCTACCCTGACGCTACCTGGGTGGGGTGGAGGGTTAGGTTAGAGTACATTTACTTTGGTTAGGTTAGAGGTGCAGTGGGTTAGGTTAGGTTAGGTTAGGTTTGATTAGCTTATTCCTCACATATAAAAAAAATTATGAAAACATTACAAAAAACAAATAGAAATATCAACACAACTTTCGTCCACAAATATACAAATTAAAACTAAAAAAACAAAAATATCCACATCGATTCACAACGTTACACATCACTTCACTTTACACGCTGTGATGAGGAGAGTCTGAGCTCGCTTCTCCTGTCAAGTAAGAGAGACTGAACGATATTCTCTGGTGTTCTTCCCAGTTGACACACGAGAACTTTTGGAACAGCCGATTGCATTAGTGACTCGCTGTTGCTGCTACTCAGGGCTGTTAATGGGAGCTTGTGCACCTCTCACACCACCCACCAGTTTATGTGCGACAGTCTGGCTGGTACATATATACAGTCTAATGCCTCCCAGTTATGTGCGACAGTCTGGCTGGTACATCTATACAGTATGGTGCCATCCAGTTATGTGCGACAGTCTGGCTGGTACATCTATACAGTCTAATGCCTCCCAGTTATGTGCGACAGTCTGGCTGGTACATATATACAGTCTAATGCCTCCCAGTTATGTGCGAAAGTCTGACTGGTACATCTATACAGTCTAATGCCTCCCAGTTATGTGCGACAGTCTGGCTGGTACATCTATACAGTATGGTGCCATCCAGTTATGTGCGACAGTTTAGCTGGTACATACAGTCTGATGTCATCCAGTTATGTGTGACAGTCTTGCAGCTCCAGTACATACAGTCTAACAGTCTAACAGGGTTTTTTTTTTATTCGTTTGTTTGTAAAGTTGAAAACAATGTATCGTTAACTCTACTTCATCCCAAATTAAAGAAAACAAAACAAACAAAAAACACACAAATAAACAAAACACAAACACTTAACAAACACAGTAAGACACAAACAAAATCACAGCCACAAAAACAAAATCCCATCAAACACAATACAATAATTCAATAACAACACAACTTAAAGAGACGTATTAAAACACCACAGAAAACAACACAACGACCACACCAATCGTAGCAACAGAAAACGAAACGAGAGAAGAAGAAAATATATATTGAATTACAGTAAAATGGTGAAAAAATGTTACCAGAAAATAATTAACATGACCCAACACAATTCCATTTGAGAACACCGCGGGAATTAAGGGGGAATAGTCTGGCAGCCAAGCGAGGTAAGAGAGACTGTGTGTGTGTGTGTGTGTGTGTGTGTGCTTCCAATACAACACCCAAGCGCAAGCAATTATAGGTTTTCGGTCAAAGGTCTCGAGAGATCATAATTCACTTTGATCTATACATCCGGGCGCTCGTTACTGCCCCCCCCCCTCCTACCGACCCTCTTCACCCGGTTAAGTAACTATATACCTTATGGATCACGTACATAGTGGTTATTATAAGGTTATCTGATGACTTTGTGTTCGCTTCACTCGGCAATAATCAATTACAAGCGTATATAAATGGCTAACCCGAGGAGGAATCCAGTCGCTTAAGGATACAAATTTGGAATTGCTGGTATTGACGTTTTGGGGAAATTGGGAATATCCTGGGGCTAGAGACTCGTCCCCCCGAACACCGACTCAGGCATCCCGACTGAGAGAGAGAGAGAGAGAGAGCATAAGCGTTTAGTTATATTGAGCGTGATAGTAGTTTATGTGATTCAAGGCGGCGTGATGGTGAAGGCGGGCAGGGCAGGGAACAGAAGACAAGGGATGGGGGTATTAACACATGGTAGGATAAAGCATGAATGAGATAACGAAGGAGAACGAGGAGATAACGAAGGTGAATGGGGAGATAACGAAAAATGAGGGAAAAACATAGATTTCTGACCAATCACAATCTTGCTGCCTAACCAAAATATACAATTACTGTTCCCGCTTATGGAACTAATACAATGATATTAATATATGCCTTCTTCAAGACTACTACAGAGTGCATAAATCTTAAAAATTGACATGAACAAAATCTACGTGTAGGCATAAAACAGTTTACACAAGAACACGCGTAATAATGATATCCAGCAACATGCAGCATAGAGAATAAGTTAATTGCATCATCAAAACCAAACATCCAAAATATTCAAGCGATAACGACTCATATATTCTCATCAGTGTAATGTAACGCGCTCTGACACACCCCACTAAATAAAACCCAATTGCATTCATGTTTATAAAAGAAAAAAATTATGACGTTTAAAACAATAGAATAACGTATTTTATTGAACACTCCCACCAGAAATTTAAACCCAGCGCTGTAATATATTGTCAATAAACAAAATAAAACTACATTAGCCTACACAGCAAGCATAAAAAAATACCAAAAATATTACATAAACATTTACAATAACACTTTATCTTCAATGCACTTAAAAAAAGAGTAAATTCAAACTCAGGTATTCTTGCCTCTAATAAAAAAAATATTATTTCCCATTCAGCAGCTGTTGACAAGGGAAACAATAAGAGTGTGTGTACTGAAGACCCACAGCAACCCAGTCCCACCCAACCCCATCCATCACTATCAATCATACCTAACATAAAGCGGCCCCCTCTTACCTCAGACAGCTTCCATATTGAGACTCTTACCACACACACACACACAGTCTACCATTCTTATACAGATTCAATGCACAATGGGAAATAAAAATATGAGGGAAAAGGCAAAGGAAGTGGGTTTTGATCACCTGACGATTAGACGCCCAAGCTTACTTCAACTGAATATTAACCATTCTAACACTATTGTAACTTAACCTAACCCCTTTCAGGTATCATTAGGGTGTTTAATCAGCAGGTGAAATAAGCTAGGCTGTCTAATCTACAGGTGAAATAAGCTAGGCTGTCTAATCTACAGGTGAAATAAGCTAGGTTGTCTAAACTTCCGGTGAAATTTGCTAGAGGGTCTAATCTTCATGTGATCCTAAATCCCCGCATGGCACAATAAAATTACAATAACCTCTACCTTGATGTTATAAAGCATTACTACACTTCAAAAACAAAAGACTTTAAAGGCATATAATAATTATAAAACAATTATGGACGTATGATAATTACATAACAATTAAGAGTCGTATAATAAGTATATAACAACAATAATAATCACCACCCATCATTGCTAACCTTCAACCATGAGATTAACCCATTCTAACGTCACAGTTCACGAAGGGGAAAATAAGAACCAAGAGAGGAAAATAAAGACCCCAGCACTAAAGACTTACTTACCTGCAGGGAGGACACCAGTGAGCGGAGAAGTAGAGACCAATCACTCTGTCAGGACCACAAACATCGTTGAGGTCAACCAAGCCGTTGTGGCCTAGGACCTTCTCCCCGATGCTCTTGATCAGGGAAGGGTGAGCCATCTTATCTCTCACTCTCTTTTCTTTTCCTTTCTTTTCTCCTTTGTCTATTGTTGTTGTTCTTGTATGCAATAGTTCCACATAACAAGGTCTGTTTTTATTGTTAATTTTGTTGATACACTTTGTTTTGTTTTTGTTCTATCCGAAATGGTGTGACTTATTTTCTGTCGCGTGGAAAGATGAAATATTTTGCACATACAGTAAATGTATATGGTATTTCTATATAAACTCAACAATGGTGTAGATATATAAAAATCAACCAGAAGGTCTCAAAGTTATTTTCCAGTCTGATAATTCTTGTTTTGGGTGAAGAGGAGGAAAGACTATACTGTAATTAGAAAGACAGGAAAGCGTCTACCTTTACCGTAAAAAAGACCATGAGCCACTGAGCTCCGATCAACGCCATCTTGATCCCGCGGCCAACTATATGCTACGTGGCTTTCGCGGTTTTCGCCCCGCTGTCCTGTCTTTCTTATTATATTATAGTCTTTGTTATAATGGCCGAGCAAGGGATGGTGGTGGTGGTGGGTGAACGATAAATCACTAAGATAATAATAATAAATAAAAAAGTTACCCCAGACAAATATTAACAGTGTGTTATTCCTGACTATAATTTTGCTGTTATAATTTAAGATATAAGCCTCTGAGTGAACGATGCAGTGTGTGTGATAATTGAATCTAGTCACAGTATCAACAGAGTAACTTTGTTGTTGTACACGCGTTGGTCGACAGATTCGGGGAGCGTGATGATAAAAAAACTCCAATGAGAAAAAAAATTATATACAATGCAGTCAAGAGTAGAGTTTAGCCAGTCATAATTAACAGTTTCAGAACCAGTCAAAATTATATACTAATGTGGATTTTAACACGAGTAAACCAGGTTATTTGATGGTAAGTGTAGAATTCTCGTGCCTATTCAACCATCATTTTCCTCTCCTAATTGTATACAAAGGCGCAATTAACGTTCAAGTGGGGGCAAATGAGACACGCTCAGTGTAAGGTAAATATGTTGTTATAATGTATATATTACTGCCCTTCAACAACCTAAGGCCTTTAATTAAATGTTTATGTTAATGTTATAATGTATCACTGCGCTGTGACTTATGGCGTTTAAGGGTATATTTTAGATTAATAAATACAAGTCATAAACAAAAAAAGATTAGAGATAAATCTAATCTCTAGAAAAAAAATAATCAGATTAGGCTACTACAGCGGCCTAATGACTCAACTTTGCACAGTAGATGGTTAAGACACAGTCGTGATTTAATGTGATTACTGAGGATTTAGTTTGTGTAAGGTACTGAGTAAGTTGAGGCTATGAATAAGTCTGTGTGTCATTTATATTTCTGGCTGTCTTAAAGAGTCGTACACTTTCCCTACATGTTCTCTTGTCACTTCCTAATTCTCCGGCTTTTTAAAATGTTTGTAAATCACCTGAATATTAGACACCTAAGGTTATTACCCCTATTGATTAAACACCGTAACACTAACCCAACCTAACTCCACCAGGTAGAGAGCGGTATGGTGTCTAAACTAGAGGTGATCCAAAACGTTTTCCTGAGTCTGTTTACACATGAATCAATCACACATTGCAATTCATCATCTGTTTAAAAGAAGTAGATATGACAAATAATAACCAAGTGTCAATATGTCAACACATGTCGGCCGGGGTCTCAGAGGTTGACAAGTCCTAATATGTAAATTATGACCTCTAATAACACCCTCACAAGATGGTGTACACCGTGAAGACTGCTGCGTGACGGCTGATGTGTGAGGCCTTGTCACGCCACCCCTCCCTCGGCCCCCTCACCTGGTGCTTAGGAACCTCTTGCTTATAGTAACCATCCACGGATCACCTGAAGATTTGGCACGCCTAGCTTATTTCACCTGTAGATTAAACTCCCTGTTGCTACCTGAGATTTAGGTTAGAGTAAGTTAAGTTAGATTAAGTTAGTTTAAGTTATATTAGGTTAGTTTGTTAGATTAGGTTAAGTTAATTTGGTAGGTTAAGTTACATTAGGTTAGATTAAGTTAAATTATATTAGAATAAATTAGATTAGCGTTAGGGTAGTTAATCTTTAGGTGAAATAAGCTAGGGTGTCTATTCTTCAGGTGATCCCCCTCTACCAACAAAATTCCCAAATATCCCGACGATATTTTTCTTTATTGACTGGTTGGTAATGTGAGAACGCATCTAAGTGACTCACTAAAGACGGACTGTCAAAGGCCAATAAATTAAATCATCTTGGCCACAGAACGTAAGAAAACATCCAACTATAGTTCACTTACGCTATACCAAAGGTGGATTCTCAAAAGGTTCGAAGTTCAAATTTATCCCACCAGATGAGGATGCAATTAACTGACTCGTGTAAAAACTGCTACACACGAAAAATATTAACAACAGATGTTGTAAAGTGTTTCTCTCTCTAAACACTACTGTAAATAGATGCGTCGTCATGTTTACAGTTACAGGCGGGGGTGAAAAAATTGACGTGCAAATCTTGAGAGTATCTAGGAGGGAGCGTGGACCACTTCTCTCTCACTCCTTCTTCAGGTAGTTATCTTAATGGAGATCTACCACGTACCAGGACATATCAGTCTTGTTTTCTTTATCAGCATTCACTTGTCACTCCTTCCGCAGTCAATAACATATGACGATCAATAATTTTATTTTTAGAGAAGAACTAAATGTTACTTGGATCATAATTATGAATATTAGTACCTCATAACAACAATGGCGTACAAGTTTAGAATACTGCATACATCCAAACCTGTTCAATGCTGTCAGACGGTGTTGGAATTTTCGTTAATATAATCTTGCTAACCTGTACAACGAGGTAACAAAACCTATAAAGTACAAAAATTCCTCGTTAAAGACACAGGCTAAACCACGTCGCTTACCGTGTTAAAAAGTCTACCGAGTTTACCTCTTGCTGTAGCTATATATAACACTCAAGTTTACCCCAGGGTTATCTAGTTAAGCCGCTGTCGTTTAACGCTGCCAAAAATCTAATAAATTCGGGTCTCCTCCGCGGCACAACTTTGAGCTTGAATGAGAAGTGGAGAGTGAGAGATCCCAGCCACCGTCACTACCCCTGCCACTCCTACCACCTCCTCCACACCATCCTGCCACCACTACCACCTCCACACCATCTTGCCACCACTACCACCTCCTCCACACCATTCTTCTGCCACCATTACCACCTCCTTCACTACCCCTGCCACCACCTCCTCCACACCACCTTGCCACCACTCCCACCTCCACACCATCCTGCCACCACTACCACACCATCCTGCCACCACTACCACACCATCCTGCTACCACTACCACACCATCCTGCCACCACTACCACACCATCCTGCTACCACTACCACTCCTGCCACCACTACCACACCACCCTGCTACCACTACCACCTCCACCACCACATTAATAAAAAAACACCCAGTACTCAAAAAACAACACTCGTCCTCAAAACTATAAAACATAAATAAAAGCAAACACAAATAACAATCCACTTAACCACAAACACCAGGTCAAAAAATTCAATTCGTACAAAAAAAAATCTCGACAATCACACAGGCAGCAGAACCAGGAGGGAGTTATTAGTTTACACACAGACCATTGACATACTATACGTACACGAGACAAAAAAATCAATAAACGCGTCATCTATAACATCTGAACCCCCCATAATTGTACACTCACAAGACAATGGGAATAAAACCAGCTTAGTATAAACAATGCAGGTCTCAATTCCACTAACTCGGAGATAAAAGGATCATCTGAAGAGTCTGATTCCACGTTTAGTATCACCTTATGATTTAACAAACTAACACTGCCTTGGGAGGGAAGGGATCAGACTAGAATAGGTTAGCGTCGGGGTGTTTAATCTGCAGGTGATCCGAGGTGAATTATAGTTTTAAAAATAGTCTCTCTTTCTCGTTGAAGTTTACAAGTTGTGTGCTGTTGTCTGTGTCAAGAAAGACCGCCTCAAATGGGGAAAAAAATATTCAAGGTTATCCCCTTTACAAAATGTGGAGAAAAGCTGAACCAATCCCCAAAGGAAATAAGCTTTTTTAAAAAATTTCTTGGGTTAAGTCAACTTCCTGTTCTATCATTGTTGGTTTACCTTGACTGTCTGAGTGTATTATGAACCAATGTTAACTTGTATGGCGAATTTTACTATATAAACATCTATCTATCTATCAATTCTATTTGTTGCAGCCAAATTAAGACGCATAAACTGCGTTTTATGCGTCTTAATTTGGCGACTGTGACACTGAAAAGATTACATGAAGATTAAACACCCCAGCTTAATTCACATGATTGAACATCCCACTAAGGTTAACCTAACCTAACCACCACAGTTGAAATAAGCTGGAGTGTCAGGTAAACACACATAATGCATCTACAGTAGATACTAAACTATTTCAATCCTTTATTTTCGCGCATCATTTTCTGGAATATGTTCATACACTCGACATTACAAGATTTATTTTATATATTAAATAAAAAGTACTCTTCCTCACTCACACTAATGGATCTAAAATAAAATATAGTCGAGAGTGTATTTAGCTATATATTAAAACTCTTATTTATTATGGAAGCTACGAATGTCAGTGCGAGTGTAATGTCGGAAATTTCAGTATACTGATTTAGTTTGCTTTTAATATTCCCCAAAACACTACAACCAATAATAATAATAATAATAATAATAATAATAATAATAATAAATGTACTGTTTTTATATTCGAGTTAAAACGCAGCGTAAGTTTATCGATAATGTTTATGTACTGTACAATGTTGGTATACCTACACTGTAAAATCTCATATACCTGCAATGTCATTATGCATTCCTATAATAATCAATGTATACATGTATGAAGATTATACTATTTATCTTACAAAACTATTTATCTAACATTAATCAGGAGATTACCCGTTACTGCCCGTGTAAAGTGACGGCCTGAGGGGTAATCCCGATGTATGCGGCTTACTGACACACACACATTAACCGGAGCTTCATCAATAAACAGAAGAATATTTTTGCTAAAATTACCATACAAGTTCACGTTGGTGCGACAGGTACTTAGTCTAGGTAATACAATGTATACGTGTTACAAGTATACAATGTACATAGGCAGTGGAGGTATACAGTATACATTGACAGTAGAAGTATACAGTAAACATACAGTGGAGTATACAGTGAAGGTATACAGTATACATAAGCAGTGGAGAAATACAACGTACATAGACACACCCCCTAGTCTTGTAGGGGCGAGACTACCGAGCCCTCTTTCCACCACACTTGTTGGGGAAGGTTTTAAATCCCCCAAAACCTGCGGCCGTGTTCACCTCCTCCACCACCCCCGCACTGCTTGCCACACCGGAGTCCCCTTTTAACGTTTACAAACAAAATCTTTTAATAGTACTACGTTTCTCTCTTGAGGATTTTTGTCACCGGTTCCTAGGGTTACAATTCCTTAAATTCCCAGCTAGATAAAATGGATATTCACCACAGGATTCGCTTGGACAGGATTATACCGTGAGTAATACGGATCACGAGTCACACTAAGCGGAGGATAACACCCTACCTCCACGACGGCCAAGCTCACACTATGGCAGACGACGCGTCAACACTCCCGCCAAACACGAGGGAGGGACACACTGCCTCCTGGGGCCCGCCTCCCGCACTAACCCTCACCATCCCCAACCTAGAATACAGTACTAACTTAAATAAGCAAGAAAAATAATCTCATTCCTTGAATCTTTTAATATTATTGTTTAGTATATGCACCAGTTTAGAGTACGTGCTGAAGGACCTAGCTGTTGAGTCACATGCAAAATATTAAATATATATCACGACAATGATCGCTGGGTTTTTTCTTCGTAAGTTTGGTATATAAGAAGATGATGTATATAATATATTTATTCTATAAAATCACCATTGCCCCTGTTTGCACATAGACATAGCAGGAAGTCGCTACATCCGGGGATAACTCAAGGAAGCTGTCAAAAACTTACTTTTGTAGGGATCTTTTTTTTGTGGGTGACCCTAAGCTAATCAAGCCAAACGACCCTGATGTAGTTTTTTAATCTGGCTCCCGAATAAGTTACAGTAATTTGGTTTGTGTCGCCTTGAAAATAAATGACCATCCGTTTCTGGCCGACGTATTTCTTTTTAACATTGACCATTTTATGTGCACCCAGTAATTTGGATTAAGCAGATGACAATTATCCCTTGAGGTCTCTCTTGACTATTATATTGTACATATGCACTATCAACATTGCATACTTGCATTATATTCATTGTATACAAGTTATGACGCGCTGGGATACAGAAACGCAGAAATAAAACAGACAGCGAGATACAGGTACACAGACTCACAGAACCACATACAAACTCAATAAGACTCAGCCAGCGAGAGACAGGACACACTCACAGAAACACCGACAAGCACAGAGAGAAACGTGGAAAATGACGAAGAAAACGGGAACCTAAGTATTGTTACCAAGTTCAGGGGTCCAATTAGGAACAGGAAGAAGGTCGACCCTCATGTGTGTCTGAGAAGAAACCCGGGCTCATAACTCCTGCCTAAACTAACACAAATACATGCAATATACACAAACATACACACGGGCATAGGTATGTAATGAGAAGATAATTATAAAACAAACAAATATGATGCATGATTTTCCGAAATATTAATACAGCATTTATTGTTTTAGCTCTTATCTGTTGCTGTCTACGTTTGTCGCGCACTATAACCCATACCATTTCTCTGCACTCTCTATTTACATGCTGAACCAACTTAAACTTGTAAGACAGTGTTATTGAATAAATGTTTAATATATGTGGAGAAGATTTAAAAGCCGCGGGACAGTAGTAGTTGAGGGAGCTGCCGGTTGTAAACATTGGCTGCCAGCTGGCCTTGTGTGGAGAGTAGAGCCATGGAAGGGATACTATATAAATGGACAAATTACTGGAATGGTATGTCCTGAATGTTAAAGAGAATGTTCAAACTGTATATCTAAAATTTCAGTGTTCATGATACGTGAGAGATTTAGTGCCGTAGTTGGTGTATGTGTGGTATAATGTGTGCAACAAGGTAATAGTCAATGACAGACGACGAGGTGTTGAGGTGGCAGTGATGGTCTTAACCCGTTGGTGTCAAGCTCCTGTACAACCACGACTCGTGCTGTGCTGTATATACGTATTTTTGAAAAGTTTTTAAGTGAAGAGGTAATATAAAAACTATCTTGATAACTTTAAAGTGGGTTATAGGGAAGCTCTAGTTGAAGACTTTGTCATTTGTCACATAGCCTTGGAGGCATCGCAGTTCTCACGGTTGACGAGGCACTGTTATTTTGGTTTCTTTCTTCAAATTACCGTTATTTAGAGAAAGTCGATTAGTATCTATTTCCCCAACATTTGTGCTATCAGTTAAAGAACGACACTGTAGGTCATCACAATGTCACCTTTGCCGTGACATGCCTACACTGTTTTGACCTTGGTGAGGTAACAGTTCCTGGTCTAGTGTTCCTGTGCCCTTGGGAGTTTATTCTTATATTTTTGGTAACATTGGAAGTGAGGGTTGCCACCTGTATAATTGGTTCCGAAATTTTTTTATTAGATACCTTTGTGTATTCTATTCATTTGTAATTTAAATTCTGTAATATGGTTAAAAAAGATCTATTTTTGAATTCTAAGAGAAATAGACTGTTGGTTGATAATTACTACCCAAGAGTAGTACTGTAGTGATCACTGGTTCATCCTTACTACTATTAGTCACAGTTCAATGATATTTTATGAACCAAAACACTGATGGGTTATAGGTGATGGTGAAGGGGTAGTGGGGCATAGGGGAGAATGAGTCATTGATACACTTCAGGAGGTTCCAGATTTGTAAGTTATAAAAGAACGTACAGTATAGTTTTAGTTAAAACTTACGTACTGTACAGGTAGAGTGCAGTACTATATTCCATTATGGTCAATTACCTTACAGTATAAGGTTTTGGCTCAAGAGTCACTAAGGTACATGCTTAGTTTGAATCTTCAATTCTAAATGAGTTTTCTTTCTTTGTAATTAATTTTTGTCTTGTTCAAAAGCAGAGCTTAAAGCTGTACTTAGTAAGGAAAATAATGAAAACATCAATCCTTAATTTGGAAACCAAATTATTGTTCATTGTTAAACCAATTCCTTTGGGTATTTATATCTTGGTTCTAAGTGATTACTGGATAACGTAAAGCTAAGCCTGGTAAGAAAGGCTGCCAGAAGCTGTGCAATGTGAGAGCTGCCACCAGGATATCAAGACTAACCCCACACAAGCATGGAAAATGGCTGTAAAACAGCGATAATGATGAGTTTGAGTTTCTTTGATTCAACAGGCTTATAATAATTTTGGGGGAAAATACCATTAAAACTTTTTTATTACTTACAGGCTGGCAACCAAGGTGGTTTATATTAGATCAAGGGGTTCTGGCCTATTACAAGTCACAGGAAGAGGTAAACCAGGGCTCCAAAGGCTCAGTGAAGCTTTCAGCATGTGAAATATTAGGTAAGTGAGTCCTTCATTTATTTTTTTACACTTTATAATCACTCTTGGAAGCCTTTTTGTACATGACACACACTGGTCATAATCAAGACCAATGCAGATTCATTCATCTTTGACTTTCATTCATTCTCTAAAATGCTGTAACATATGTGTCCTTTGATGTTTCACCTCCTCAACATGATCTCATGATTACAGTATCTTCTCTTGCTCTGCTACTCCTCTCCCACTTACATCCCTTATCATTATTGAACACTCTCCATTAGTCATGCCTCCACCCCTTGTAGGCACTCACCCATCCATGAATATATTGAACAACCATGGTGACATTACATTTGATATAGAAAAATTAGATACATTTTAAAATATTTTCCTCCATTTGACTATGCAGATGCAGATATTAATTTTATTTTTGGTTATTTACAAATTGTGATTCAGTGATATATAATTTTAAATTCCAAGATGTTTTTGTTTATCTCATGAAAAACTTAAATTCTCAGAGTTTGTCACCCAGACCTCTTAATACTTTAAGCAAAGGCAAATACATTAAAGAGGTTGATATCGAGGAATTACATTACAGTTTATTGTCATATCTGAGCTTTCTAGGAACTAACATCTTGTCTCCTTATTGCAGTACACCCGACGGATACAATGCGAATAGATATTGTGATTCCTTACGAGCAGCACTTTTACCTCAAGGCTCCATCTCCACATGAACGTCACGCTTGGTTAGTGGCCCTGGGCAGTGCAAAAGCTGGTATTCCTCCTGCCATACCCCAGACAAAAATTGAAAAAGGTAAAGATGATGGTGATGATGATGATGAAAAGAAAAAGGTTTATAGTTTCAGTGTAAATTTGGCATATTCATGTTACAATAAACACCTCATAACTCGGCAGATATGGGGCTGAGGCCTTTGCCGACTTACCAACAATGAGTCAGTTTATATAATGAAATAAAAATAGAATTGTATTAGGCACTGTACTTACCAACAACAAGGGGCAATTGCATGATGAGCCTGTAATAGGCAAACAAACTGTACAGTACATGAAATTGTTCTGACAAACTTAACACAAGAGTACTTCACAGGCACAGTAAATAATTGTGCTGACAAACTTAAGACTACACTGTACTGTACTGTATATATAACACTTAACTCTCTGTACAGTAACACTTCACAGGCACTTACCGGTAATCACTGTCACTGTGATGAGATGCGCATGTAAACTGATGCTCACGGGGCCGACATGGCCTGCCAAGCGTGGGCCAGCTTGCTGAGTTCTCACTTGACTGGGATCCTGCCGACTAATAAAAAATGTAATGGTTATCTGGTGCTGTGCTGACTATCAGATGTGGGGTTTACTGTATATGGTGAATAGTTTATTATAATTTATTTTTCCATCATTTGAAGATTAGGTCCCCAGTTTATTTCATTTGGTGATTAAATACCCTAACCTAAACTAGCCCCCCCCCCTTCACCCCATTATCATTAGGGTGTTCAATCATCAGGTGAAATAAGCTGGCGTATTTAATCTTCATGTGATCCGCATCATATATTGAACTAAATAACATTATTGTACACTTTCAAGAGCAAGAACCAGATATTGTTAAGGCCAAGAAGTCTGAGCTCCGGCTGACCTGTGACCTCCTGATGAAACAGGTGTACAGTGTCAAGACAGCAGCTAACAACCCTGATGGACCTGATCTTGAGGTGTAGTGGAATTATCTTTGTTCGTGATCTTTAGGTTTAGTTGAAGATGCAGAAAATTTCCACTTGACTGGACCTATTTATTAAGAGAAAGAAGGTTCTTCTTATGGGGAATGTTTGTGAAATATGAAATAACACCACTTCTTTTTATGGGTATTAGCCCACCCAGGCACAGGTCACCAATCCACAGCGGAGTCTGGGGGTGAAAAAATTTAATAAATAAATTACACCATAAATAAAAACAGAAATGGAAAAAAATTAAACAGATCAAGAATGAGAAACGATATACTGTATATGTAGTGTTGTCAAAGTGTGAGAAACAATTGAGACCCTGCAATTGTGTGTAAATGAGGCAGAAAGTCATTTAAATCAGCAACCTGGGATTTGTTCACAACTTTTGTGATGCTATATGGCAGCAGGGTCTACCATAATATAACAAATTAGTTATGATTCTAATATCATCCCAGGAAGTAGTACCTCCCTGTTTGATATCTGCCTACTACCTACTCGCAGCCATTTGAAATATACAGTAATATATAAATTTATGGCAATTTTATGAATGTTTAAATTATTTTGCATCATCTGTGTACCACTCAATATGATAAGTAGTAATTAAATCATCATTGCATCTGAATACCACTGTAAAGTGAGACAGTGTGAAGTAGAATTCCTTCAGCTTGTATTTATTTATAGTACAAGTATTTTTAAACTATTGTCCTCTTAAGAATCAGCTGCTTTGTTGTCACCAATTTTACACTGGTTGTACAGTTCTGTATATTATTTGTTCTATTCCCAGAAACTGGATGAATCCACGACTTTACTATCAGCGACATGTGATACCTTCATCCATACACTGGAGGAGTGTATGAAGTTGTCTAACACCTCACCTACACCACAGCTCTCCGGAGACTCACCCATTCCCCCAATCATCCTCCTTAAGGTCATAATTCTCTACACTGTGTGTCTGTAGACAATAATTAAAGCTCATTTTTATATTAAAGTAGTACAATATTGGTAGTACAAATGTAAAAGTGGCAAACAGGTCATAAATTTAACGAAATATCTGTGCATAAATCCTTGGTGGCCATCAGAAGAGTATACTGTACAAAGATTAAATTTTTAACAAAATTAATTTATAGTAATGCTCAGTTTTTAGTAAACTTATTTTGTTTTACTTTGTAGGAAAGAAAATCTTCCAGTACTTCCACACCAATAACTACAAGACAGAACTCTACAGAAAGGTAAGAATTTCAGCAAGAAAGTTTTTTCATTATCCTTAACCCTTTCTTGACTAGACATCCATCAGCCAGAGAAGTTAATATTGTGTCCCCCAGACCAGACACATTCAAGAAATTACAGGAAAAGATCATAAATTCCTGTGTTAAAGCTTAAAAGTGATGTTTGCATTTTACAATATTTCAAAGATCGTGTTTTCATATCTAGCCATGAAATACGGTGCATAAATTAGAGGACACACTTAACAAAGTCTCCAAGATATTAATTTCTACTGTACTTTATTTTTCAGAAGGACAGAATGAAACTGTAGCCTGTAGGAATGTGATGTGTGAAGAAATTCAAATTTTGCTGTATAGAATCCTGTTCATGCCAAGTAACATGAAGTCACCACTGCTACTTCCACACAGATGACATCTGGCATTGTGAGTTTGTGTTGGCTTTCTGAGGCAGTTGCATTTTTCATATTGTGTTTGAGCATATTAGAAGAACCCCAAGAACCAGTTGTAAACGTTTAATCACAAACATTTCACGCTAACACTGAATAATTAAAAGATAAATACCTCTCCTACCTCCATGATGATTGATTAGTAAACAACAGTTACATTCCTAAATGCCCTTTGTGATGAATTCAAATATTAAATAGGTAAGTAACAAATTGAAGATTCTTTACTCTAGTAACTTTCTGCATCATAATTCCTTAAGTTGGTTTATCCTTTTGGGCACTTTAGTTGAGTTGAATCATTATAGAAACAGTTAGTGTTTGTTTAGTCATTAAAAAATTTTGAAGATGATGTGATGGAGGACTTGGTAAAACCAAAGAAAGCTAGAAATTACAGAAAATATATGTGCTATGGAGAGAACTAAATCTAAAAGGTAAGTCACAACAACTGCTTGGGAGATTATGAACAAACACAAATTACACTGTACACCGTATTTATTCATGTTGACGTTGTGAACGTGGAGGAGCGGTGAGTACAGTACGCTGGTGTCAGCTGTGTAACATTATTTATCATTCCAGTTACAGTGTCCTGAGTATATTTTCCATATTACTCTTCAAGCTTATCTTTATAATGAATGAAATCAAAACAACTTTATTTTTAATAGGAAATTATTGCATTTTTATTTTTGAAGGTTGTGTTGAAAAATATTGCTTGTGCAGTCACTGGTTATTATTGAACATATTATTAAAATATGTTCACCATTACCAGTTCAGTAATGATTTTCTTATACGATGGGAAATTGATCACTAGCACACGCTTCCATCCAACTTTTGTCATCTTATTTTCCTTTCCTTAATGAAAATAAAAAAATATTAAAAAACACAGGAGAGTATGTACGGAAGGTAGAGCACTGACCTAGTGTAGTGTCTAGTGCAAAAATTTATATATATTTTTGATTGGACAGCTATTACTGTTTACTGGCACCTTTTGTTTTAGTATATTTTGTAAAGATTTTGTCTGTATACAGTATTGAGAAGGATGTACACAGAAACACATGGGAAATAGTAGAGTATATATTTATTAGTTGGTAGTAATATTCTGATATTATACTTTATAATCAATTATTACAGTACGTATAAAAGATATGCATCAAAATTTCTCCATGTTGAATGTTGTTTAGAATATTCACTAGAGAAGTAGTATAGTATGTTAAAATATTTATTAGTTTTTGTGTGCTGTATATATTTTCCATACACTAAATTTTACTTTTAAAACTTTTTGGATATGGAGTTTGTAAGTTTTGCCTCTGTGCTTATGTTATGTTGTTGAGATTATTGTGAGAAATGTGGTAAAACTAGTTTACGTTTTTAGGGGTCTTATCTTCCCCAGGTATTATACACTGGTGAACTATTGCTTCCAAGAACAGATAGACTGGAAATATTGTCATTGTCAACCTGAATTGATCTGATCATTTAATGTGAACTATTTACTGCAGGGAAGGGTCAAAGGCTGCTTCATGTGAATTTCATTAGAATTATTCCTTAGGATTACATTTCAAGTGACTTATTTTTTTAGCCTGCACAGTGCTTGTCCAGTCTCATGCTGTAAGTATTGGGCCAAATTGAGCTGGATGGGGAACAGTGTTCATGTTTTTTTTATCATTATCTGTACTGGTATAACTGTATTTTTTGGTGATACTTCTCTCTTTGCTGTGTATTGTATTTACAAAGAAGAAACATCTTGTTTGGCAAAGCATGACATACTCTACAATGTCTGAATAAATAAGCTTTAAAATCTACATTGCGAAACTCAAATTGCAACATAAATCAATCCATTTTGTGATGAATAATTATACTTAAGGAATTACTGTACTTTGAAAAGAGATTTTGAACTGTTGGATTAAGTAGGTAATTAGAACTTTATAGATTGACATTTTACTCCAAATGATGTGTACTGTACTTGGTAAGTAGTGGCAAAATGTGCTGTACTGTACTGCATTGTTATAGTTTACCATGTTTTGGAATGAACTATAAGACATAAAATAACAATGATATTTTGAACAGATTTTTGTGGGAGCTATACTAATAATATGCTTTATTGTACAGGTATCCTTTGATATACATATGGGTGAGGCCCCCCCCCCCCACACACACACACAAAAATTAATTGTCAATATTTTCATTGAACAAAAGAGCATGTTGGAAAAATTGGGTTCGGTTCCCAATGACAAAAATACTCCAATATCATACCCCTAAAACACGAAATTGGTTCACAAACAAGAACAAAACCTACCTAAGAATAAATAGTACACAACTACTGTACTCGAATTTACTACTTAACACATGAAAAAAATAGTAAAATACTATTTAACTATACTGTAGTACATTACCTAGTGGGAGGGCAGTCTGGATGGCTCACCACCACTAGGGGTGTGCTGAGTAAGGGCCTTACTCAGCATGATGAGGAGGATAGTCCAATTTCATCACTGCTGTCTGCCAAGGACACCACAGTCCTCAGCATGCTTGTAAATTGTGGATACAGTAAAAGCAGCTAGACCAAGATCTTTCCCAATCCTGGTAGGGCCATCACCGCATTCAGTGAGCATGGATATGTCTTTGCGCATTTCTCCCCAAGATGGCTGCGCCAGCTGACTCTCGCACATGAAATTTGAATTTTTGCCTGGACCCAAATTTGTATAAGCGGGGAGAGCTTTCGTATCTCAAAATAGTGGTGTCAACTAAGTATATAAGTACAAGCGAATTTTCATATCTCAAAAGTTCATATATCTAAGGATATCTGTACTGTACTTAAATATGTCAACAACTCATTTTCTTTTTAATATACATAGTTGTCATACAGGTTTACAGTTGGATAGGCAAGTATATAAACAATGCAGTTACTGTGTACATTTCAGCAGGAGTATAGACAATGATTATTTTCATGGTTGTATCGAAGAGTATTATATATATACAATATAATATAGATGTGTAAACAAACAGATGCCAAAGGAGAAAGTTATAAAGAATTGTTATTAAAAGTGTTGTTGGTAATATGTTTGTATTAGGGCTCAAGAATTGAATAATAATGATGTTAGGGGCTATTTGATTATTTTTGTATTGGAAAAGTTAGTTAGTTACAGTATGGTGTGGTCTTTGTTGCATTCATGATATTTTCTTATTGCACAAGTTTTTTGTGTGTTTTTTTTAACACAGAGAAACATATGTTTGGGTTTAAGGAAATGAATAGATGAGGGATTTGAAATTTCGGTACTGTACTCAACCCAAAAGGGATGATGAGATCGAGGGAGAAGAGACTGTGGCCTGTGTACTGTAACTTATTAACCAAGACAGACCAGGAAGTCATGAGTAAACCCAAACATACTTATATTGGTTTCATATGCATTGTTTAACACATGCCCCAGATGTTAATTGTGCTGGTATTTTAAGTCAGCTGCTGGTGTTTAGTGGAAATCTAGGGGTTTTTTTCCTCCTTAAGATTTGCCAATATCATCATAATGTAAAATTGTATAAGTGAACCATTTTTTTATTTGAGATACAGTAGATGTAAACCTGAGGACCATTTAATAGTGAGAGTGAGTATGTGTTATCATAGTGGATGGAACCTTTTTTGAAGGAGACATTATAACCGTGTTAATTACAAAGTTTCTTTATTTGAATATATTTTATACTTTAAGGTTTGATTTATGTGATGTCTTTTGTAATGTAGAATAAAGATCCACAAATATATGGTATTGGATAATGGGGTTTTGGAATAATAAATGCCTTGTGTATAAACTGTACTATATACAGTATACAGTAGTATTGTTTATACATATATTTCAGCTTTTTGTTTTTTATAATAAATGGAAAAAATTTAGGAATTGTAAAGTTGAATTTTTTTTATCGGACAACAATCAGTTTGTTTAAATATATTCACAATCACAATCATTCCTCATGTTGAAAATGTCATGTCCAGAGTAATGTACAGTCAGTTCTATAGTGCAGTAGTTGTGTTTATGAAAAACACCGCATTTTAGGAAGATACTGTAGTATCCATTGATTCAGTGGGAATTTAGAGATAAGGGGGTAGTAGATTCGAGAAAGCACTAAAAATGATAACCTAACATAACATAATTTAACCAAATTTAATATTACCTAACCTAACTTTCCCATGAAATGTTAAGAATTTATTCAGGTGAAATAAGCTGGTATACCTTAACAGGTGAAATAAGCTGGGGTACCTTATCAGGTGCAATAAGCTGGGGTACCTAATCTTCACATGACTCAAAAATTCAATACCAAACTCTAATGTTGGTTATATTACTGCATATCTAAAACACAGTGCAGTGCACCAGGTTACATATGATACTTTTATTAGCTGACTGACATAGTGGTTAAATGTTATTAAATTTTACCCATTCCTTCCTCCCTTTTATGGGATAGACAGGACTCCTTACCCTACTTACTTCTTCCTCTGATAGACAGAACTCTTCACTTACTCTTTCCTCTGATAGACATAAATTCTCACTTACTTCTTCCTCTGATAGACAGAACTCCTCTTAATCCTTCCTCTGATAGACAGAATAATTTACTCCTACATAGCCTCCTAAAATCACCACTTGGTTCTAGAAGTCACGCTGGCAGATGTAGGAGAGGAGTGTCTCACAGTTTAGGTTCTTGGTGGTCCACATTTGGTTTGTGTTGGATAGGTCAAAGCAGACACCCTCATTGGAAATGCTGGAATGTGTAGATTTAAGCTTGAAACCTGAAGGTATAAAAGAAATAATAATTTCCATGAGATGTACAGTATTTAGGAAAATGAACCAACAATGAGTTGTTGTTTTTTATTAGTGGACAGTGAAAGTCGTAATAAAGAACAGACCGACTGCTCGAATGGCTAGTAATTTGAGTGGTGTTAAAAATAATAAATTAATTAAAACAAAAATCAGAAAGTTCAGAGGTCCCTAGATTACTTACCGTAATTACATCAAAGACTATTTTCAAGTAGTCTTTTTAAATCTGAAGAATAAAAGTAAGTTCATTTAAAATATACAATAAGGAATCAGTTTTATATTGCTCTCAAGCCAAAACCAAGATTATCTCGGCAGTAGGAATGTAGTGAACCCAACGAACTGAACACGTAGAAGATTGACAGTTCTTGAAAAAAATTTATACAGTACAGTATTTCAAATTGTTGCTGACTATTTGAATCTGTGATACAAGTGTACTCATCGTAAGGATATTTATGAATAAAAGCTAGTATCTTTATTAGATATGAAAATAACATATCACGTAGATAACACTGCTTCTAGTCCAATCAGCTAAGTTAATCAATGTTGGCTCTGGTTAGTACAGTACTTGGGTGGGTGGGTGACTGCCTGGGAACACTGGATGCTGTTGGGATTTAAACTAAAGGACCCTACTGGAAATAAGCATCCCATGGTTTTGTCAGTTGCCCTTGGTAAAATTGCTAAATACTACTTGTTATTACAGTACTGTATTCTACTGTATAATGAATATTATCTCAAAGAAGGAGAGAACACAACTGGCCCATAAGCTCAAACATCACACTGTAGTAAATAATGAATAATTTGATTAACAATATGAAAACCTTAAAATAGCTGTCTACTGTAGTTAACAAAATTCCATGAGTGTTAAATGAAGCTGGAAGAAGAGTACAGTATAGTACACATTACTGTAATTTACAGTTTACAGAGAACATTTATATTAACATCAGCCTAACTTACCTGTCCTGTAGTGCCAGAAAGGACCTGTCATAGACCCATTTGAAGCTGACATAAACTTTAAGCCGATCCAAGCTGGCGTTTCACCTGCCAAGGAAGATAAAAGTGCCTATAAAACTCCTTGTTCTGAATTTAAGGCAATTTAAGCCCTCATTTAATAGACAGTACCTGCGTTAAGTTTTGAACAAAACTGAACATATTTGTAATAACGAATACTGTACCACTCTATTACCATGACGAGCCAAGACAGCTTGCAGCTCCTTCATCTTGGCTTCGTCCTCAGCCACAGCCAGCTGACCTCCTTCAGCTACACACCTATCCGTGGCAAAGTCCCATCCGATACCACGTGTGTACATCAAGTAATACCTCCTTCCTTCCTTGATGTATGCTGCCAACACAATTTTGTATGTAAGTCTTTGTACACAGAGAGAGGGAGGAACACACCATAAAAACAGTTACTTTCTATCCACAAACATAGACTGTAGTAGAGGATAACAATTGTGTGGATGTTTGGTGTTACCTGTCAAACAGTTGGGTAGCTGAACCCTGTGTGCATAACAAAATGAGTTGTACTGTCAAAAACTGCAAGAAACGAGTGAGAATTGTAATGGGTTTCATCTGTGCATTAGAAGCATGTCGGGAGTTATAAGAGGACCTTGTCCAGGATGATAGAAGGCAATGATCAGGTCGCCATAAGCCTACAGATGTTTATTTTGCAATGGCGGATACCTCACCTGGTCATGTGACAACTTTGATGGTAAGGTTACAGGCCTCCTCAAGGGAGCAAAAACCTCAACTAACATGAAGATCTATAATTATGAGTTTAGTTGAGGTGAAGTTCAGACACTCACTTGCCCAGTAGAAGGTTATTTGGCCGGTAGCATTACCGAGTTCATGGTAGACATCCTCATGGTACGACATGTGGCACACCCTCTCTTCGGCACTTACAATGGCTGTAGCAAAGTGGCACTTTGTGTTTGTGAAACACACCATCTTACACTCACCTGAGGGGGGGTGGGGGTTACCTGCTACAGTATTTCATTAAGTCAGAATAAAAACTACAGATACAATGCAAGTACAGAAATACAGGAACAAAATTATGATACTACTACTACTACCAGTACTATAGTATACAGTAGTAGTAAGTCGTATTAATACCACAATAATGTATAACTACTACAACTAACACTAATACTACCACTACTACTAATACTACACCCACCACTACTACTAAATACTACCACTACTATTACGTGGCCTCCATCCTCCCCCAATAGCCACACCTTTGCCGCTATTTTATTACCTTAAAATTAAATATCCTCATACATAAGTAGCTATCCTAGCTGTGTTGAGTTAGTTGAGCCGCAGGTTTATGCGGCATTCAGTAACTATTGCCTCATAGTCAATATCTGCAACTGTTGTCGGCTTTGGGGTCGATGCTCTCGTTCCCCAGAGGCAGAGCAAAGCCGACCTAAGGAGAGAGAAGGACAGTCGACATCTCATCCAGGCTGTTACATAACTTCTGGGCTGCTGCTTCTGTTTGGATAGCACCTCTGCGAGTCTGGCGTAGAAGCATCTTGCACTTGGTCCCAACCCACCAGAGGTTGTGAACACCAAATGAGTGAAGCTGCCTTGATCAACGTTCTGAATTCTCTCCCTGTATGCCCTTATCTTGTCGTTCTCGTTCCTCCTGTGTGCAGCATCAAGAGCTAAGTTACGGTGACATGCGGCCATGGGATAAAAAATTCTGATGTCGAAGAAGGCTCACTGTCCCCTCGTCCAGAATCCTCGAACACTGACGTCAACACGGGCTTCGCTGGATGTGTTTGAAGTCCTATGTTGAAAATTCTCACCTTCCAATGGAAGGAGGGTCGGTTCTACCCTGACATCGCAACAGATTTCCTTCAACATATTTGCTGTGAGATCCCTTACTTCGTCATGCCTCATGCATATGAAGCCCCCTTTCTTGCACACCATGGCGTGATCGCCGTCATAGGAAGAGCCACAGAATACTCCGGCTACACCAATGCTCTCTCCACCCTGGAAATGCCATCCCTCAGTGATCTCCACCACCAAGCACTGGAAAGGTTTGGCAATGGACTTCTGCACCACCCTCGTCATCGCCACCTCCTGCCACCTGCAGCCCCCCACCCAACTCGTGCAGTCCACCACTACAACAAAATTCAGCCCATAAGAGCCTGCACCGATAGATATAAGAACAGCACCATCCCATCTATTGTTAAAATAATAAACAACTCCTGATTTATGTACTGTACAGCCTTGTAAATATATTGAATGCACATTATATCATTATGTCTAAATCAAATGTACCGGTAAGTCTGTATATTTTCAGCCACCAGCTGCAACTCTATTAATAAACCGTTTATTATTATTATTATTATTATTACACGCATTGGGAGGGCAAACCTTCTACTGGCCGACCGTACCTTAGAGCAATGGCATCTGTAAATTTTTGTTTGTTAAGACTGAAACCATTTGCCCTTATCGGTAACGTAGTTAACCAGTTCGAGGCACCCACCTCCTGCGCTATAGCTACTTTTTTTTTCAAATTTTCTGGAACCTGCAGCAACAGTTGCTGCAACTTATCATTTTGGCAGTGCTGTCGATCTGTCGTATTGGACCTACGAATCTCGTTTACTTCACTGGTATCGACCTCCCCTGTTGCGTTCTGGGCTATTATGTGGTCCGTGAGGGCTGCCGTGAGCTTAAGTGAATTTTGATGTTCGGTGGCTGCAATCTCCTCTGGATTGGTTAGTTCCATCCCTCCCAGTCTTGATGGAAGTGCAAGAAGTGCTCTTTCTGCTGGGGTTAAGTGTGTGTGTTTCACTAATTTGGGAATGAACTTGACACTGATAGCTTCTTCCAGAGGGTGGAAGAGGGGTCCGATATCAGGGATAGTACGCATCAGGTAGTTCCAACAATGCTTGACTCCATGGGTGAATGCAGCAAAAGCCGCATGTGGCTCTGTGTTAGCAATCTCAGACAGAGCTTGGATTTCACTAACCCACTCATTCACCTTTACCGCTACGTACTCGGTCTTGAAGTCCGTAGTGCCAATTACTGCGCCTAGATGTCTTTGGCCGTCCTTAGTTATTTTGACCTCACTTCCGCCAAAAACATCCTTTGCCCGTTCATAATGTTCTGGCTTCACGATGAGGAAGGACTTGCTGGCGTTTGGGTGGTACCCTATTTGTGGACCTCGCGATGTTACCAAGTCCCACCACTTTTTGATGCTCTCCACTTTTCCTGCTCCTGTAAGGTCGTCAGCATGCGCCACTTGTTTGACCCCGTTGTTCAAATTTTATTTCTTGTTGGAGCACTGATGGCCTATTGCATACATTGCCATTGCAACAGGGTCCCCCTGTGTTGTTCCCTCGGTTGACTGTAAGATGGTATCACCTCTTAGGGCCTTGTTGTTTACTATATAAAGGTCTGATGGATTCCTATAGGAGTTTTCAACGTACATTGCAAAGCTTGGACACTTGATCTTGATGTTGTGCAGTGCAGCTTTGCAGTTAAGTATGTTGAATGCGTTTGAAGCGTCGACCAGGAGAACGGCCTCACAATCGCTTTGCTCAAATATCGTTCTCATGGCGTGAATGGCAGCTTCCCCTCCAGCTTGTTGGCCGGCACAAACTTGCAGGTTCCCTGCTGCTGCCCTGACATCGTCCTTTACCACCTCCATTATGCATTTTCCGATGATTCGCCTCAGCACTTCCCCCACTCCTATTGGCCTACATCCTGGATTCTTATCCAGGGGAATGAGGCGGCAGGCCGTCAGAGCATGAAGGTGATGGCAGCATGAGGATGCCAGCTTTCTTGCAAGGACGGCAATGGCCGTGCAGAGATCACTTGCTGCGGGGCCAAACTTGTTAGTGCTGAGGATGACTCTCCATCCGTTTGCATCCAGACCTGAAGGGCCGGCACCTCCCTGAGTCTTCAGTGCCTTTTTCCACACCATCCCTCCTGTTATTTTCTCGAACAGGACAGCATTTGGTGGGATATAGGCACCCTGAAACCTGATGCCTTCGTCATCACTTGCAGAGGGATGTTTTTCTTTCAGTTGTTTTAATGTCTCTCTGTTTATTGGCAGGACCCCACCGGTGGATTCCTCTGTGAGAGATCTTACCGCCAAAGACACTTTTCCCACGCATTTTGTTTCCAAACTTCCTTGCAGCATCATCGGTGTTTTGCTTTCCGTCTCCTGCAGATTTTAGTCTCTCCTGCAGTGTTCTTGCTTCACATAGGAAATCATTAAGGGCCCCCTTCTGCCACAGTGTCAGTCTTCTTTTCATTGCTGCCGCATTTTCTTTGTGCTTAGTCTTTGTGTGTGTCCTCTGACCGAATAGATGTGGTATTATTGCCAGTATATGAAGAGCTAACGGGGCAAGGAGGCGGTCTTGAGTGTACTCAGTTATGAGACTAATCATCTCCCGAATCATTTCTTTGGTGGCCGCACACTTGGGTGGTTCAAACAGGTTTGCTGGCGACCACCTGACAATTTCTGAGTAAGTTTTTTTTAACTCATATGTCTGCATTTTCCATCGACATGCCATTCCACTGTGGTGGCTGTCTCTCATTCACCTCGTGAACATCAGCTACTATTGGAGCAGCGTTTATTGGTACTACATTTTCAGGTTGAGTAGACTCACTGCTATCGTTTAGGATATCGGCAGGCAGCTGAGTCCCGGTGATATCCACTGTGGCCTCCTGTGACGGCTCCCTGCCATCACCACCACCACTACTACTACTACCATCACCACCACCACCACTACCACTACTACTACTAGGCTACTACTACTACTACTACTACTACTACTACTACTACTACTACTACTACTACTACTACTACTACTACTACCATCACTGCCATCACTACTACTCACACATATTATTGATGGAAACAGTTAGATTAATGGCTTCAAGTTGTAAAGCTCTATCCTTGACAATTATTGTGTCTGTCAATGACTTCGCTTGAGCTTCCATTATCACAACCAACATCATCATCATCGTCTTCATCTTGCTGGGTATTAACTCCTTTCACTCTCACCTGGAGAAGCAAAGTCAAAGTTTCAGATGACACAATAAAAAGATATGAAAAACTGAAAGTACAGTATGTTGAGGTACTGTACCCTGTAAACACCGTTACACTCTTGTCACAGTAGTATTACACTGCTGTCTGTCACAGTACTGTACTGCTGTCTGTCACAGTACTGTTACACTGCTGTCTGTCACAGTACTGTTGCACTGCTGTCTGTCACAGTACTGTTACACTTCTGTCTGTCACAGTACTGTTACACTGCTGTCTGTCACGGTACTGTTACACTTGTCTGTCACAGTACTGTTGCACTGCTGTCTGTCACAGTACTGTTACACTGCTGTCTGTCACAGTAGTGTTACACTGCTGTTACATTACTGATACACTGCTGTCTGTCACAGTACTGTTACACTGCTGTTTGTTACAGTACTGTTACACTGCTGTCTGTCACAGTAGTTACACTGCTTGCTGTCACAGTAGTTACACTGCTGTCTACCAAAGTACTGTTACACTGCTGGCTGTCACAGTACTGTTACACTGCTTGCTGTCACAGTAGTTACACTGCTGTCTACCAAAGTACTGTTACACTGCTGTCTGTCACAGTACTGTTACACTGCTTGCTGTCACAGTAGTTACACTGCTATCTACCAAAGTAGTGTTACACTGCTGGCTGTCACTGTACTGGAATACTGCTGTCACTGCACTGGTACACTCTTGTCATTGTACTTTTACACTGTCATTATACTGCTACACTGCTGTCACTACTGTTACACTGCTGTTACTGTACTGTTACACTGCTGTCACTGTTCTGTTACACTGTCTGTCACTGTACTGTTACACTGCTGTCACTGTACTGTAGTTATTTAGCCTACAGATTAGAATCTGACTTAACGTAAAAATCTAGTTCGCTAATGGTTCCAAGAACGTAAATGGTGGAGTGTCTGTTGTCACATTTACCCTCAAACTCACCCACTTCCATCATTCTGATATGAGCTTTAAGTGATTCAGGGAGAGGCTCTACGACATGGTTCCACACATGAGCTTTAGGTGATTCAAGGATGAGCTTTAGGTGATTCAAGTATGAGTTTTAGGTTATTCAAGGATGAGCTTTAGGTGATATAAGGATGTACTTTAAGTAATTCAGGGATAAGCTTTAACCCTTTCACAGCGTGTCATGCACTTGCTATTTTATTCTGGATACCGCCAGACGATTTTATTCAGCTCAGGGTAACCTCCCGCTGTGAAGGGGTTAAAGGAATCATAGATGAACTTTAAATTATTCAAGGGTGAGTTTTAAGTGATTCACAAATGAGGATTGTACTTGACCATCACCATTGTTAAAAAGTGAGTTTTGTCGTATATCAGACATGCCTGCACACCTACAAGACATGGTCACACATATAAGTCTACGACAGACATGGCCACATGAGTCACATCTACAACAAACATGGCCACAGACACTTCCAATATGGCCCCTCTACAAGAAATTCCCTAGTCTTTCTGAGCCTTCACATAGCTAATTTGTTTCAAAGGTTTCCATCTACAGTTCTATACTGTACTCACTTTCCTCCTCTCGTTTTCTTCTCTGTTTTTTTTGGGGGGGGTTGTGGTGGTGTTGTGTTGTTCGAACTGCTGCGGGCGTCGATGTAGCTGCCGTGACTGAACTTGGTGCTGCTGCGACAGACGCCTCCTGGCCACTGAGACTCTTGAGAGTCTTGAGTAGAGCGAGAACTGAGTCAAGTTGAAGAGACAGGCACAAGCGGGCTGCCAGAACCAACCCGAAGTCAATATAAGATAAAATAAAATACCGTAATACCTATACAACATACTTATGCACTAATTCATATTATATTAAATACGTAAATGAAGAATCCCACCGTGTGTTAACACGCGTTTAACTTACATATAAACGTAACATTATCATGAAATATTGACAACAGAATATTTTCTTTGTTTTGGTATAAGCTGCCGGGCAACCATGAGGTGTGACGCTGATGATGTGAAAACTTTTCTATCATCGACATTGTTTAGTAATACAGTATGTACAGTATATGCTTGGTGAGTGTTTTCACAGGTATGTTCAATGAACATTCAGATTCTCAAAGTTTAGTTTGTTAAATGTTACTTTACACTGGACACATAAAAGCTTATCTACCACTAAAGTAATATTAGAAACGAATAAATTCACTCGAAATTTTAGTTAAAGCTATCGTAACTAAAAGAGTTTTCTCATACGAACTTACTATTTTAGTTCACGTACATAAAGACCTTAGTTGTTGAAGGGCAGAAATAAGTAAAAGCATTGATGAAATTTATTGAGTCGACAAAAGATTGGCGAGGCATCAGTAGTGTCTGTCTCGTGTATTGCCTGCCTGACTGCTTCCCTGAGTAAACAAGTACACCCGTGACCCGAGGCAGAAATTTAGAACGGAAACAGCTTTATTCTGTGTCTGGACCCCCCCCCCTAAAGACATGAATATGAAAAGGGAGAAAGACTTATTTTCTTATTACAGTAAAACTAAATCACCTGACCACAGTCACATTTCTGAACCTGCATTCATACCCTGGAACTAAGCCATGGTGATATGACCGACCTGGCCACAGTTTCACATTACAGTAAATTACATCACTGGCCACTCCTCACCTGCAGTTTATACACAACCTCAGTTGAGCGTAAATCCCCGGTGTAGCTACTGTAGAAGACAGCAAGATGCTATCGATCCCTGTACACATCTTGAAATATCCCGAGCCAGTTGATCTTCCCATGTAAAGAACAGATCTGGGACCCTCCAAAAGGTAAACAAAAAACAAGTTCTCCATCATCACTGACATTATGCATTTTGTGCCTTGGCACTAGTGCTCTGTAGTTTTGCCGTGTTATTTCACACCCAGCTCAGATATTTGGAAACCTCCCCTACCCAATTTTTGGATTCACCCCTGACACATCCCTGCCATATTATTCCCCACCACAACCCTAAGAGTATACTGCTTTGGGAGTCAAAAGGCTGAAGATAAAGGATGCATTTTGACATACAGGTAATGTGGGAAAAAGTCTGGCTTTAGAACTTTAACATGTCTGATGCAAAGACAGCACACGAAAGTTGATGTTGTGACGCCATGGTTATCTGTCTACTTATACCCACTCTATTACAACACATTGTAGCCAGCCACTGCATGGTCTCCCCTGCCACTCTTCCTATAAAGTAGCTCTTTAACTCTCAGGTTAAAAGTCCACAATATATATAATGTACCCGAGCGAGTAACAGGACGAACTATTACACAAAGACCAGTCAAATTTACCACAAAACTACAGACAGGCTATCTACACTGGAAGAAGAAACACAAATTTATACGTCAACCATAATATAGCTTAATTGCTACAGCCCCGCCAAGGTCAGGACCACAACAAATCGTAATTTAATTTTAATCTAATTATAAGTAGTCTCGGTGCAAAATCGTTGCCATTTGTAATTATCAAAATTATTGTATTTTGGCTTAAGTTAGTCAGAAAAATAAATGACTGGACCTAATTTGACGGAGAAAAACTATATTCCCTGAACACGCGCCAGTATACTACAGTACAGTACGCTACCTCGCTAAAGACCCTGAAATTGGGTAAGTGATTATACAGTACTTTTACGAACTGATGATCATATGAGCAATGTGCTAAATGTTCTTTGTGAGGATGATATTAGTATACTAGCAGTCTTTGTAGATTAATGAATGAAGAAAACCGAATATTATCTTTAAACAACGATTTTACTGAAAAAAAAAAGTTTGTAACTATCTATCGCTGTACAGAACTATATATCCCGGTGGTAAAAGTGATTTCACAAACTCTGCTTTACTTTTACCAATTTTCTCTTTAAAGATGATGATTAAAATAAGTAAATAAATTAATAAACATATAAATATTAAGGTATATACCATTCCACAGTTATCGTCAGTAACCCCAGGAACCACACTGAATAACACTAGAAGTATTTTCAATCACTTAATGGAACATATATGAATTATTGAGTTATTCTGTTCAAGTTAAATATTTACAATACCAGTCGCACACACACATACTCCCTCACTATGTATTCACGCCTGTTACACACTGTATCCGCACCACTTGTCACTCACACACTCACTATGTATTCACACGACCTGTCACACTCACTCTATGTATTCACACCACCTGTCACACACACACTCCTTCGCTATATATCCACACCTGACACATGTATCCATACCACCTGTCACACATGCATAATAATCCCTTACTCTATACAACATCACCCCCACACCCGTCATCCAACAAGCATAAACATTGCAATTTGCACCTCATCATTATCATTCACTGGACTTAATTGCCAGGAATGTTACTGTAAGGGAGGAGGATGGCGAGGTGGACTCTGAAAGTAGAACCTTTACAATTGACTCACAAATATGTAACAAGGACAGGGAAAACAGAATGAGGGAGTGTTGTCCGAAAATTGCGGTGATAAACTTAACTACATCGGTTAATATCGTGTCTGGCATTGGAAACAACACATCATCTGCTTCAGTGCTGGAGGTAACATTATTGTGCGACAGAGTGAGGATCGATGATTTTAGGAAGGTTCTGTACTACTGTATACAAGGCTACTGTAGCGATTATTAGAAGTTTCTTTGTATCATTTATTTCAATAAACCATAAACAGAGAAAGTGAAATAAGAAAAGAGACTGAACTATAGGTCGATGGTGTAATATTGATAAAGAAGAGGATAACGACATTATCAGAACATGACCCAGTTAGGTTTATTAGGCCAACATATACAGGTGTACAGTACACAGCGGATCCTACGCATACTAACAAGACAGATAAGCCTACTTAAAACCTTTGTATTTAAACATACACGAAAAACGTTGCACAAACCAGTCGTAAATGTTCAAGCAATTCTACCTCTCGCAGTTGTCCCATTGATTTATTCAGGACTTGAAATTGCCGCCATATTGCAACATCGCCATGAAGTCAGTACGAAGACGCCATAATCATTGAGTCAATAAAGCTATTCTAAGAATACTTATGCTATCATTCTTTGAGTTGATCTTGGTGTCCAAATATAGAGCAGTGTTACCTTGTTGCATGAAGTGAGTTGAGTGCGCGCGCATATTATAATAGTGGTGTGAGAACCATGAGGCCAGCCAGACCCGAAACCGGCGCCGGGAGCAAGGAGAGGGTCTGAGAGTTACAAGTTAGTCTTTTAACACTAGTGTCAAGGGAGGGACGTGTCGCCTGCTGCAGTAGATAAGGTGAGTTAATCTCGTGGTTGATAGACTTGTTATTTGAATACGTAACCACTTAAACATTTACAACACCTCATGTTTTAAGGAAAAAAATTTTGAAATCATACGTCCAGGAATTTATTAAATCGTAAAATTCTGCTTTCGATGACGCAAACCCGTACACACTGAGTTTGTTTTCTTTACATCACTGGCCGGCATGGAGCTAAGTTTGAATTTCCAAAATGTTGTTTGTTTTAAGAAGATAATACTGATGCTTATCTTTTCGGTATCCGCTTTGCCATTTATCTACGGTTGGCCAGTTCTCTTTTAACGCGATTGACAACTACAAAACTAGGCACGTACAGGTTCTTCGATGCACCTAAATAAGTACCTGTGTAAGTCAAGCCTGTCTCAATATCCTCTGAAAGGATAATTTAAGAGCTCACAATCCTAAGGCAAAGATTATCGGTTACAATTTTCTGTTCTGATAACCGTTATCTATCGTGTCCTTAAGATTCCGGGACATTCAATAGGTAAAATGTACAAGCTATTACGTGACCAGTCATCAGATCAGAGGGAAGAAGTGTAGGCAAATGCATTACCACTGGGGTTGACCTCTGCACTGTGTCTGCAGTCTGCAGGTGTTTACGGCGCGTCTTGTACGAGTAAGCTTTTTATTCCTGGTGCTTGACATTAGTCTTAGAAAATGAATATTGAGAACTAATTTCCATAATAGTAACTGTTGTGTGAATTACACATTATCATCATAAAGTAAATTTATGTATTGTATGTAGAAGATTTATAAAACGTTTGTTTACATTCATCAGCTGACTGTGACGTCATGGTGGGACCATGTGTAAGAGGATTGCCAAGGTTGATGCTGAGACGAATGTACTAAAGTCATTTATCACGTTCGTATGTATGAGAAGGGTTGATAGTTAATACTATTTTATTTGATATGTCGTCGGGCTATGTGTACAGTGCCCTTCTGACTTAATAATAGGGAATATTGATAAGCTGGCATCACCCCAGGAGCCAGCTACCTAACGTACCGATGTAATGTAAGCGAGGTCATGTAACACTATCTCGTCACTATTCTCTACGTCTCTCATGCAGCGGGAGACATGAGTTTTTTATTCTTGCCTTTTTGGAATTTAAGAACAGAGAACCATCTTACTATCTCTGCTGACAAATAGAACGGAGTCACCTTGGAGAATATAGGACTACAGTACATTACTTAAGTGTTTAGTTAATTTACTGTACATGTGCATTCATTTTTAGTGATATTCAATGTTTTTCATATATTTAAATCATGGAATGACATAACAGATGAATTTCAATGTACTGTACCTAATGATACAGGAAATGTGTAGGTTGTCATATATGAGAAATGTTGGAAAATCTATTTGGCAAGTAGTCAGGAGGCTGTTGTAATGACTTTAGAACTGCAACGGTATTCATAATTGATTTTTTTTTCTCAGGCTTGCGAAGAGGAGAGGATGATAGAAATAAAAGACTGGAATATACAACAAGAAGAAAGTTTAAAAGAAAAGTAATTTTGAAATAGTTTATGAAATTTTGGGTAGATCATTCAGATGGCTTGCCAGATTGGTGTCCTATACTTTCAGGAAGATTAGCACAAAATATTGAACCTCAGTCTATTTCAAAGTAAAAGTCTTAAGCAGTTCATAATTTTCAATGGTTTCATTTGTACCATAATTATCATCAGTAAATGCCTTAAGGGGTTAAAATAATAGATGCAGTATTACCCGTTTGTTTGCTAATGGCTGAACAGGTCCCAGAAAACATTGTGTGTTGATCCTTGTGTCTGTCATGTTGAGAATTCGTTTTAAGCGAGAGCATCAGCCCTCTTGTTCCGAATGATTAGTAAAGCTTATGCTGGTATAAGGACCTGGAACATATATGACATGATTAATAAGTCCAACTGTTAATTCTTGATGATTTTTGCAATAAAATTATTTCCGAATAGTCTTAGTTCATGCGTTCAATTGTGTTTGGTCAGTAGAGGAAGAACAGTTTACTCCAGCTATTCAGAGGCTCAGTAGCTCCTAAGGAAAGACTTTGAAGATGGAGGGGAAATCATATTTTGGCATTACGGATTACATCATCTTTGCCCTGGTCCTGGCAGTGTCTTCAGTCATTGGGATCTACTTCAGGTTCACTGGAGGAAAACAGAAGACATTTAAGGTAAGTTAAGAGGACATGTTTATGTAAATCCACCTCTTTATATCCTTAATAATTTCTAACAAGACCTGTACCATAATGTAATACAGTATATTTTTTTTTATTACATGGGTGGCATATCTGGTTATGGAGTTAATGATGATTTAATAATCAGATGTGAAGCAAATTACACTAACCAACTACTCTATATACTTAAAAAGGTGTAAGGTTCATTTATGAAACGGATCACACCACATTAACCCGTTGGCTGTACCTAACTTAACCATTAACCTAACACTCATATGGTGTTTTGATTAAATGTGGTTGGTTGGTTTAGTCTGCAGTTTATATGTAGCTATTTAAAACTACTGTTTTCTTTACTCCCCTCCCATATTTGTATTTAACGTATTAAAACAAATATAATGTCGTAAAGATTCCATAAAAAATTATTTGTGGACCATTAACGAGTCCGGATCACTGGTGTCGCCTCGGCAGTGTAGTGGTTAATGAAACAATGTGATGCTCAACTGGCTTGTGTGTGATCCCAGGGCAGACTGAGCAGGTTCCCATGACAGTTCTAGTCAGACTGTGGGGTAGAAAACCTCGACCCATGTGACCCTTATCTCAAATAGATGGGCATTTACCCTACCTTGTGTGTGTGTGTGTGTGTGTGTGTGTGTGTGTGTGTGTGTGTGTATATTTTAGGGGGGAGGATGGTTATATGTTACAAGGTCGTTGATACAGAGGTCTAGGATAACTAAACTAACTCTCCTTAGTATTTTACAGTAGTTTGTTGATCAGCCCCAAAAGAAAAGAAAATACATTCAAGTGATAAGATACTGTATTTTCCTTTGTTGCCATCTACTTGTTAAGATAAGGAACTGGTAAAAAAATAAAAGTTTTCGTGTTCTATATAAATTATGTAAAATCTTGAAATTCTGAAACTCATTATGAATTTTATTGACAGAGGAGTATTTTGAGATACGTGTAGTTATGGTTAATTTTCTTTGTGCCAGCTTGAATTTTGGCAATGGCTCCTGTGTTACTATAAAGGATGATGCAAAGTACTGGTACATGAATATTGTGTAAAGAACCTTAATACTACATCCACTAATCAGAAGTTTGGTCAGCTACTCCTGAAGATGCTTAGGTAATGGTTATGTACAGTATACTGACAAGCTCATCCAGATCATCTGCAGATTTGCTTCCCTTGCTTATTTCACTTAATGATTAAACACCCTAACTTTACCTGGGTTGGTTAGGTTAACTTTAAGGTGGTTAATCTTAAGGGGGCCTACAGTAAGCTGGGGGTTCAATCTTCAGATTATCTACTCATCCTGTACATGTGAGCATTGAACATTTTCCATCAATCAGTTGGATATTAAGGTTAGTCTTTGTTTAGAACATACATCAGTAACACGGGTATTGAATAAGTACAGTCTGTCTTGTGCACAGTGGAGGAGCTTTGACCTCACGGATACACTCACACTCTGTAGATAAAGACTTCTTGCTCTGCAGATTATCTCACACTTGAATTACTGTTATCTCTTGCTCTGAAAGTAATCTTATTTTTTCCTTCTAATCTTGACATTGTAGATTAATTTTACCTGCAGCCTGTAGAAGTAGAACCATGGTCACATTTAGACATGTGGGGACCCCGTAGGTATAAAGATGTTTGGAAATAATATCTGTTATGATTCATGACTACCTTTATTATACATAAAATTTTACATCACAGTTTACAGAAAGTACATCAGCTTCATTCCCTGATGTTGCTAACAGTATAGAACTGAGTTAAGTTGCCAAAGTTGCCAGATTCCATTACTCGTGTATCACCTACGGTAGTTTTAAATTTATAGTTAATTCACAGGCTACAAAACAGTGAATGAAATATTTAGCCACTGTCATCCATTGCAGATTGCTGTCATATGTACAAGGTTACCATCCTGGAAGAGTTCTGATGACTGATTTTTTTTTTTTTTTTTTTAGCCTGCACTAACATGGGTCAGCAACACATTGACTGTGTGGATTGCGGACACGTTTGGGACACAAACAACGAAGTCAAATTAAAAGAGTGTACTGTGAAAATAGCTTTGTCATTTACCCTGTTTTGGGAGAGTTTTATTATTGTTAAAAATCTTCTTTATGGGGGCCTGGTACAGCTAAAGAGTCAATCAAAGAAGTTTACCTAAATTAGAAATTTAACTAAATTAATACAATTATGTCTGTAATAATGGCACCAACCCCTGGGTAAGAGGCAATGGATAGGTGATGTAGGTGAGAGGCATAGGATATTGAATACTTGTAGCTCTGCTCTGGGTGAGGAAATTATTTCTTTATCACAGAAAGGAGCAGAAAAAACAGCGTGTAATGATAGAGGAGGTGGAGGTGATGAGTAACTGGCATCTGCACTGCCAGGTGCTAGTGATTGGCTGATGTTTTTATAAGTAAGGAAGTTTAAATGCCTCATTTGTTTTCAGGAATACTTGCTGGCAGACAAGAGTATGTCAGTCCTCCCAGTTGCATTTTCTCTCATGGCATCGTTCATGTCTGCCATCACCATCTTGGGAGTGTCCAAAGAGAACTACATGTTTGGGACACAGTTTGTAGTCATCAACATTTCATACATCATTTCTACACCTATTGTATGCTACCTGTATTTGCCGGTATTCTTCAGACTGCAGAACATCAGTGTGTATGAGGTATGTTCTATATATAAAATGATACTGGGTACCTATACTCCTTTTATTGTCTAGTTTTTATTTATAACCAATAGGCTATCAATGAATGACCTGCAACTTCTGTCACTACCAAACCTTTTTGAGCTGTAGCAGCAGTACACATTACTCATGTGGGCAATGTTGATGTTGCAAACAGCCGAATCAGTTTTCTGGACTTGTGATTCTCTGGGTGTTTCATTCAATCAAGGAGTCATCCAGTTTCAGGATATTTATATACAGGTACAGCAATTCTATGCAGTATACAAATAAAGCACAACAAGCTCTTAATGTCTATTTTATTGCTAGCTTGGAAGTTGACTGTAAATAGAAGCAGTTTTGGTATAGAAAAATACTGTAGATACTGTATGTAGTGAAGCATCTTATTGGAATCCTGATGTGTAGACTTACCATTCATAAACTCGGATGACCTCCAATAGGTTTTTCAATAAATGTTTGTTATATGTTGAGGTAAAGTTTATTAATTTTCAGTAAGATTAGTGACATGATAAAATGTTGACACCAAATGACTAAAATGTTTCAGCATGTAATAAACTTGCAAGACATTAACAAGTTCATAAATGACTGCCCATAACAAGTTCATAAATGACTGCCCATATGTTACTCATCTAACTTATATAGTATTTAACAGGTATCCCTCACTATATGAATGGGTTAGGTTCCTTGAAAACCATTCGTTATGTGAATATTTACAGATCAAAGGACTTAATGTATGGCAAGAATAGGGTTTGATTCCCCATTGACAAGAAAACCCCAATATTGTATTATACTGTACTGAAATTTTTTTAATTAGGTTCACAAACTACAAGAAAACCCCAATATTATACCTAAAAGCAATAAATCAGTTAATCAACAAAATCTATCTAACTACTGTACTGTAATTTAAAGCCTAACACATTAAAAAAATTAGTAAAATATAAATTTGGTAAATTACCCGTAAGGGACCATATTCGTGTTAGTGACAATAACTTTCGTAAAGTGAGAAAGAGGTGTGGTAGAATAGTCAGAGTGAATATTCGTCTAGTGGGGGATACCTGTTTCCCTGCATTGTCTCCATCTGTCTATATCGACTTGTCTATCTATCTTTCTATATCTAACTGTCTCCTGTCTATCTGTTTATCTATTTTTATTTATCTGTACTACTGTATCTGTATCTATGCTGTATATTTATCTAATTCAAATTTTTGCAGTACCTGGAGAGGAGGTTTGGGTTACTGACTCGGCTGTCTGCCTCTATCGCCTTTTCTCTCCAGATGACCCTTTACATGGGCATAGTGTTGTATGCACCGGCACTTGCTCTCTCGGCCGTCACAGGTTAGTTTATAATTTGCGAAGGTGGGTGAGGGGCTGACACTATAATGTATTACTACACTTCAACAATTAAGGTTATAATTCATCATTTCACAATTTATCAGGTGGTTGGTCTTGGGTTAGTCTATGAGAGGAATTACTAGCAAATGACATCTTGGCAAAATATCTAAATACGTTCAGTAGAACGAGTAGATTATTACGCTGTACTGTCTTAACTTATTTTAAGAGTACATTTTAAGGTAATGCTGCCACTCCCCAATACTCCTCTCTGGTTACCAACTCAGTAGTAGTAATATATACGAGTATAGTAATTGGAAAAGAAGATGAATACAGGAGAACAGACCAATAGTATTAATATAAATTTTCTTGCCTTCAGGAGTATCTTTGACTTGGTCCATCATTGCCGTTGGGGTGGTGTGCACCTTCTACTCCACTCTTGGGGGAATGAAGGCTGTCTTGATCACCGATGTCTTCCAGTCGTTGCTTATGTTTGTTGCAGTTTTTGCTGTGGTAACTCGTGGTGTGATGGACTTTGGTGTTGCTGACATTTTCAGGATTGCCAGTGAAGGTGGCAGATTGGAGTTTACGAAGTGAGTTTTAATTGTAAGGCAGCTTAAGAAATCTTCCCAATGCCTAGTAACCCTTTCAAGGCAAAAAGTTCCTCATATAGAATGGTCCGCCTCTGGTAGTTGATACGGACGTGCCATATGAGGAACACAAACATTCACTCTCTTTATACCGTATTTCATGCCATATAAGATGCACGTTTTTGTCTGAAAAATGGCAAAAGATTTCAGTCTGCATCCTAAATGTGAAGTTGCTGTCTCCATTAGGCTAAATTCTATGTAGTCTGACAACAGAATTAAAATTATGGTATTGCTTAATTAAAAACATAACATTATTATGACTTTGTCAATTAAAAAAGGAATTACTGTACCTATATACGTATATAAAAGCTGGATTTATAACTACTGATGATGATGGTAACCTGAAACAACTAGCTTCTTTATGGCACCCTACTCTTCAGAGATAAGCATTTGCCATCTTTTAATGTCATACCTGCAACATTTATCTTTAAATCAATAAATACCTGATTCAAATGAATATTTAAAGATAATTTACTTTTCACATTTGCATCTGTTAATATCACTGGCGGTGTTGTTGCCAAGTTAGACTCGTCGCTGTAGCCACCAGTATAGTATATAATAACAACAGGACTAAGGCTGTATTTAAGGCCTTTAGGACTGATGGATATTAACCCAGGAATGTGTTGCAAAAATTGGATATTTGTTCACCTTTCAGCCCCTGTGGTGTGAGAAGTATGGTAGTAAGGGTGTAGTAAAGATATGGTAGGTGGAACACATGCACATTCCCCACCAGGAACATCTGTTGAACCTCTGTTTATGTGTTGTGGAGATTAATGTAATCAGATCTTATCATTGATCAATTGCTCTAAAACTATTAATTTTCCTGTTGATAGAGATTGTACTTGGCATTATTATGTTGTTGCTCTATGTCTTTTAACTTTAAATTGAAAACTCCATACAGTATACTACTCTAATTGCTTGGTAACCTTTGCAATAACCTGTAATTAATTTCATCATTCAACTGAATGTGGACAGTCTGTAAAAAGTGTACTGTATAGAAGTACATGTATGTGAATCGGCCATTATTTCCATATATAATCTTTGATATACTGTACATGTTGTTGTCTGTGTATGGTACTTCATCATGAACACAGCAGTATGTTACCCCCAGTCATTGCATCATTCTTGTTTTTACTGTGGTTGCAGCTTGTCGCCTGACCCTCGAGTGAGACACACTTTATGGAGTCTAGGTATTGGTGGATGCTTCACTTACTGCTCCCTGTATGGGGTGAACCAGGCCCAGGTCCAGAGGCTTCTAACTATTAGGTAAGTTAAGGTTTTATATGATGGAACATAAAAGGAGGACCAGTTGTTGATGAGTTCAGGTCAGGAAGTTTTGAATACTACCAAGTTCAGCACAAGATAGGTATACGAAAACAATTTTCTAGAATACAGTACTTGTATATGTAATAAAATATTGATATTGAAGCAGTTTATTTGGCCAGAAAACCACTGATACAGATTGGACAATAACAACAGCATTGACCTGGCTGAGCCAAGTGAGAGCCTGAACCCTCATAGTGGATGTATAAACTCATTTAACATTGTTCCTTGTATGCATTTGTACTCTAGTTGACAGATGTGTTAATGTTGTCAGTGTAGTGGTAGTTTTCATAATTAATGTGGCATATTTGATTAACTGGGACCTGCCATTCCTCCCCATCTTAGGTTACAAAGCTTTTACTGTAATATTCTTATATTACAGGAGATGAATATCAATTAATGACTAGCTTTGATGTTCCTCAGAGATCTCCATCGAGCTCAAGCTTCACTCTGGGTCCAGTGGCCTATTCTTACTCTCCTTAGTCTGTCTACATCATTTGCTGGGTTGGTGTTGTATGCTCAATACCAAACCTGTGACCCCATCAAGAATGGCCGTATCTCTCAGTCTGACCAGGTATACTTTTAACCATAACACACTTTTAAGTGTAATACTGTACCCTATAATTGACTTTTCTGAAGTAAGTGGAAATGTCAAGTTGTTGTATCTGTACCACTAAATACACTTATTTTATTCTAACTAGATTTAGTGTGATACTGTATATACTATTCATAAACATTGTCTATACTGTACACATTTGCAATAAGGACATTAATATTTCTATACAACATGTGAAAACTGAATTGAAATGGTTTTTATCTTCAAAGTATTTTTAGTCATACAACAGTTAGAATTAGTGTTGCATGGTACACATTGTATTGGTTCAAACTTTCCCTCAAACCAGTTGTTACCACTGTATGTTGTGGAGACTATGGGGATGGTACCAGGGCTCTCAGGACTGTTTGTGTCAGGAATCTTCAGTGGTTCCTTATCAACAGTGTCTTCTTCTGTAAATTCCCTGGCTGCCGTCACAATCTACGACTTCATTCTGGTGAGTAAATTCCATCGGATAGTGCTTAAGGTATATATTTGTCACTTATTCTTACCATTATTAGCCATTTTGTTCTGAAATATTATAAATCGGTGTATGGTGTTTATTTCTTTATATTAAACAAACATAGAGCTTGTCTTCAGTTTGTATTCATGAAGTTTGAAATATAATAAGGTTAATATTTGAAAAAATTATATTAGCAAAGCTGCCCGATCTTTTGTGACAATATCCATATGTTTATGATACAGTACATGTCGGACATGAAGTTAACAAAAGGTTCACTAAAGTTAACATGAAGTTTGAGAGGATTATTGTGTAATGCTGAATTTTTTTCTCCTCCCGACAAGGATTTACAGCATTTTCATTATATCATATTCCACAGCCTTTTGTACCAAGCCACCTGGGTTTAAAGGAAAAACAGGCAACAAAAATTAGCAAATTTTTTGCCTGTGTGTATGGCAGCATATGTGTGGCTGTTGCCTTCCTCACACAACTTCTTGGGACAGGAGTCCTTCAGGCCTCCCTCACAATCTTTGGTGCTGTTGGAGGACCTCTCCTCTCGCTCTTCACTATGGGAATGCTGTGCAAGTTTGTTAATCAAAAGGTTAGGCGACACTTGATATTTCATAATGTCTAAGAAATTAATCCAATGTGTAGAAGTTTTCAATGATTTTTTGTGTTCATTGTTTGTCTTAAAACACCTATGTGATGATGTGGAGGAGAAACCAAACTTTGAGGTAAACTAATTAATAAGATTGTTTATTGTTAAAATGAGAGAGTTCTCATACTAACATTGCTGCACGACCTCTTATGCTATATATGTACATATACTGTAAATAACACTCATTCCTATTGATGTTGAAATATGATATTCAGGTGTGTGTAAGAGTATGTGCAGGCTTCTCTTTATGTAAGATTGTGTGTGTGTGTGTGTGTGTGTGTGTACCCGGTGCAATATACAAGTGTAGATGTGTAGAAGGGAAAATGTAAAGAAATGTTTACTTAACTCTGTAATACATACATTACATCATTGTACATGACTTTGCTTTAGGCCTGCCCTCATTACTCATAAGGTTAATAGTAAATTTATAAGTTTCCTTTCTCTGCAGGGTGCTATGTCAGGTCTTATTTTGGGCCTTGTCTTCACTTTATGGATTGGCTTTGGCCAACCAAAGCCTCCACTTCCTTTTAAGCCTCTCTCTACTGAGGGCTGTCCCTCAGTGAACTCTACTGTGGATATACCAGAAATGTTCATTACAGAAATTTCACAGAATGTTGGAAATGAAACTTTTGTGGAGAAAATATTATATTTGTCAACTAATGACTCTGATGTCACTATGTTAGAATTGTCAACACCTCTGTCAGCACCGACCAAAGGTATAACATTACTTCCATCAAACCTTACTGTGATGGATGCTCCACATAAACAAAGGTCAGTCTCTGCATCTTTTAATAAACATATGACCATATTGTATAAAAAAAAATCTTTGTACACTCTGTGACAGTAAGCAAATTTTATTGATATCTAAATGTGAGTATCATTTGCTAGTTTAAATTGTGCTTGATGTAACCCATATACAGGGGTCCCCGACTTAAAAACGCCCACCGATATGAACAGGGTTAAACTTGAAATTTACAGTAATTTATTTACAGTATTTTATTTACCTAATGACTTATTTTTTACTCTCATATTCTGTATTTTGTCATTCTGTTTCTTCTTTTCTCTTAAATTAAGTGATTTTAAATGTATATAAGGACTTAGGTTATGATATACAGTACCGGTAGAGTCTTTTAAACATTGTTCTGTGAGTACAGTATGCACATAGCAGCTTGTCCTGACTTACGTACAAATCCGACTTAAGAATGTCCTCAGGAACGGAACCCGTGGACCCCTTGTACCTTCAAGTGTGACAGATGAAGGTACCTGTATATGAAAATTTTCTGACTTGGGGTGACTTCAGACAGCTCAAAAATGACTTGGGAGGCACAATCCAAATATTATTCATGCATATTTGCAAGATTGCATGATATAAAACTTGTACAGGGAGTTAAACAAATTGAAGAGAACAAATATGTTCCTTCAAGCACAGCTACTCAGTGGCATCTCATATTCTCTAATTCAATTTTTTTTTTTTTTTGTAATTAAACTTTTCGATAATGTCTTTAATTTTACAGCACACCATTCCTACATGAGTTATATGCAATATCGTACATGTGGGTGGCAGCCATTGGGTTCATGACAACTCTGGTCGTGGGTGTAGTAGTCAGCCTAGCCACAGGTGGAAATGACATACTGGACCCAGAGTTGTACTCCTCCTGGGTGTGTTCACAAGCAGCCAGCATATCTGAGAACTTGTGTACTGAGAAGGTGAGAGTACATGAGCTGTTCATTTTCTACAGTCCTCCTTGACTTATATTAGGGTTACAGTCCAGAAAACAGTTTGTAAATTGATCCTTAAAAAATAAAGGGATGCCTACACAGTAGTCCATAAACTCTTGGACATTAAAAGAAATATTTACATATACAAAATCTAGACTTAATACTGTACTTACCAATCAAGGAATTATTACTGTTATAATTAAATTATTTGTGGAAGACACCCACACACAGATGTTCAACTACACCCACAAACATGCACTCTGTTCGGGTTTTCAGGACTTTTTAAAATAATTCTGGTAAATAGAGGAGTGGTCCGAAGCACCTCGGAGTCTGAAAAAGTGAATTCTGTTGTATTGAAGTCTGGTGTACAGTATAGAGGTTCTTTAGTATATAGAAAAAAGCCATAAATTATAACTATTGCAAAATGAAAATAGTTATACAGTATAATTTTGTAAATTGAGGTGTAGCTACGAGTAGAAAAATCTGTACTGTTTTAATTCTTCTTGTCTTATGGTTATTTATTAAAAGTTGACTAATCTGTACCAGTAGTATTTGTGGTAACTACATTATATTTTCTTTCATTCTCATTACAGTGCAACCTCACCAGCAAGACGGGTATTGCACCAGTGTCCTCCTCAACCACATTAAACCCAGAAGTTGAGGAGATGTCTCATTTATGATGTGTGTGTGTAAGTAATGATTACCATGCAGACATTGAACAAAGGAGGGTAAAGCTTGGGGGACTTAAAATAGAGAAAGCTGAGAGGTATATAGGGTGTTTGTGGCCTTAAAATCTTAAGGCACAGTATAGTAATTTAACTGATAATATAAAATTTACAAATGGACTTCTTGCTTGCAAATTTTCTTATAAAATTGAAGAGAAATGTTGTAGTTAAAGACATGGCTTACTGTAGACTTGGAGATCTGAACACACAACTGCAGTGGTCGTTGTTATATTAGATTTTGTCTGTTTTGGTATTTGATCTATTAATGTAATGTTACCTAAGATCTTCATGGTCATTTTATTGCAGTGTAGTGATAATATATATACGTACAGTATTTTTGGTGGTTCTGAACCCTTATTGTGATAATGTTAAGAAGATAAACTAAAAATGTGTTGCTTACTGTTTGGTGGATCAGCTGTAGGATGAGTATTGTGAATCACATAGAAAATAAGTTAAGAATAAATGTATAATAAGAAATGACTTGCATCCGAAGGCTAAAAGTCATATTTATGCACATACCTGAACAATATTATGGTCTGGCTAAATGAGCTTACCTGTAAAATAGTCTTGACTGATATTTTTTGGTATATCCTCATGAACACTGATGGGAATATGTACTACTGTATTGTGTTATGACAGTGGAGTTGTGCCAGGATTCAGGGTCTCAATTATCACCATGTTATTTCACAGGTTGACGATGTTTAGCAAAACAAATTTTTGTAAGTAATTATTTATATATTTGATAATTATATTTTCCTTATTGTAAACATTGCTCAAGTTGATGCTAAACAACTACCGTACTATGGTACTCATTGCATCAACTTCATATTTAATTTATACTGATACATCAAGTTGCTGTCAAGAATTTAGCATTCCACAAAAACTTTGGCAGTGGCAAATACTGTATATTTGTATTGTCAAACTCCTCCATTAATCAATAATCACATAGTTATCTAAATAATAGTTCTCTGTCCATGAGTGTCCCGCATAGAATACAGTATAACAAACTTCTCATAATTCATGGAAGCTATAACTGCAAGTTTTACATAGTAGTACAGTAGTAGGCAAGTAAAAAAAAATATAAGTTAAAAAATAATGTAGAAATTGTGATAATTGTATGAATGTGCTGTATGTCCTATCATCTTGCCTCTCTTGTTCTTGATAGTGTACAATCGAAGACAAAAGTATTGTTCTCATTCTGTCCGATGATCACGTACACCTAGCAAACCTTATTGAAAGCCATGCCACGACTAAATCCTGGTAGTTGGCAAGCCTGAATCCAACAATGAAGCATGTGCCAAATGGTTTACCATTTACGAGATGTTTTCTTCAATTTTCTGGACACGAATTTTGTCTTTGACTGTACAGTATATTTTTGACGGAGAGAATAAGCCAACAGTCAGAGGAGACATTTAAACTTACTGTGTTGTTGGAGACCTCTAGAATATCCATGTTTTACTAAGTTTTGTGTCAGATGACTTGGGTTTACCAAAAAGAAAATAGTCATAGCCTCTAGTGAGCCATTTGTTCAACTGTTATGTCATACAGATTAAAGTCCTCTGGTTTGGCACCCTATGGTCCGGCATGTTTTTTGATTGGCTGGCTTGGCACTAGTTTGTGAAAGTAAAACTACCACTTCCATAAGGTCCACTTTAATACTATTCCCTCCAAACACATTTGATTAAAAATTTATTAAATTTAATTGTTATTTTCAATACAAGCCCATGTTTTGGTACAGTAGTGGAATTTTTCTTCAGCTGACCTAATGTGATTCTGAAATTTCTAAGGTCTGATGCCAGTCTAGTCCCAAGGGTGTGAGATTATAGGGGTTGACCTATATGTATATTGTTGTACAGACAATGTTTCACTCTTGTTCTGATTGTGATTTATAAATTAACTACCAAGGATAAATGTTTATATACTTAACACCTACATTATCCATATATTTGAAGACTTGACTGTTTCCTCTCATCTCTGTGTTCTTAAGTGATTTACCGTACTGTATAGTATGTAGTCTCGTATTTATTTTCTTCATTATTATCGTACCCTAATCAGAATTATGCACAATGTACCGAGTGCACAGGATGTCTGTGTTTTACACTGTGCTGCTGATATAAAGAATATAAATATCTCAACAAACCACTTTATCCACCCATAACAGAGTTTATTTTTTATGCATTATGGTAATTGAAAATGTCAGACAGCAATGCCTCCACCTCTGTGACAGTTAAATATTCTCGACACTATTGTATGTATTTTAGCAGGTGTTAAATTATTTTTTTATTGGATTTTAAAATATTTTGAGATGCAATAGGTGAGCTTACTAGTCAAGAGAAGACAGTCATGTGAGGGAGGTGTTTACATGGTAGCTAACTGTGCTTCCCATTCCTGCAGCTTCAAGTTTGTATTCAAATGTTTGAGAAGTAAATCTCATCGGGCATATTTACCCAAGAGGTTGTGTGATACCATTATATACAACTTTGTATTATTGTCTCCGATGTGAAAAATTACAGACCCGTATTTCTTCTCCACTTCTTAAAGAGTGAGACTAATTTTATATTGCAGAAATGTAATTCATTCAGATGATTGATGGTACTGTAATAGTATATACATACTGTAACCTTACATCTGGATTGAGGAACCCTGTATTGACTAGTAACTAATAGATGGTTTTAATCTTAAAATCTCATTTTAAATATTCTACAATACAGTGCAGTCCATGTGAAGTTATTCAGAACACCTTCCTGTGAGATGAAGTAAGTTGGATCTGGGGTTGTTATTCATGAACAAACATTTTTATAACTGACAAATAAGCAGATTGGAGTTTGCTTATGCTCATAGCAAAATTCAAGGCTTCTGTTTTTAGGAACTTGACAGGTTTACAGATGAGAAATAACAGGTTTCTAATTTATTCAATACAGGGTATACAGTACAGTGCAGTATTTAGATTCTAGTGACAGGTCATTACCCTGGGGTCTGGGTTTATAACCTGCACACTTGCCGGCTAATACAATTGCTTGATATAGATATCATTAAAAAAAAACATGATTTTTAGGATCAATCCTCCATTTTGAAGGGATTGCTCCTTCAATCTAATTGTAGAAATTCCAAAACTTCTACTGTTAGTGTATGTTATTGATGAGTGATTCCCCTTTATTAATGCTGTAGATAGTCAGTTACAGTGAAGAAAGTACGTAATAAAAGTGATTTATTTTTTTTTACACACATGAATTAGTGATAACATTACCGGGTAAATACTGTATGCTTTCACACTGGAGTCTTAAAATTGTGAACTTATTTTTGTGCCGTGTTATATTTACATAAACTGTGCCCGAGATGTGTGCTATAATTATACTTTTACATGTAGTTACCAGCTTTGTGCTGTGGTATGTTTGATAGTAAAATATTTTATAAAGAGTTGTTGCTTCTATGAACTATTGGTCTAGGCATGCAAGAAGGATTGAGAAATATAAGTGATAATGTATAAACAGAATTATAGTCATTTATGTGTGTTTAGGACCAATTATCTAAATTAACCTCTTCTTAGGGAGATGTATCAGTAATAATCTTATGATACATTAAAGCGAGTTACTTTTTTTTTTGTTCACATCTCTCAGATTAAAGAACTAGATTCATTCTAATTATCTGCTTATCCATTTCACCTCACTAAACACCCTATTTTTATGAAGAGGAATTTAATCAGTCCTATACCAATTTTCAAGTAAAAAATAGCAACTAAAGTTAAAAGAATTAAACATGTTAAATCCTTGGCCCAAACCAAATACTGTACTGTGATAGAGTAGTAATGCACATACAGTATCTCTAACTGATATGGCAACGATTCAGGTCCTGCTTGGCCCAGGCACGTGAGAGGGGTTGTGTTCTCCAGTGTGACACTACCAAACATCACAGGTTTCCCAGACTCTGGTTCCTTCTGTAATAACACTGGATGAACCAGTCGCCCAAACACCTATAGTACAGTAAGCTGATTAGTGATGAATTGATAAAAGGGGAAAAAATATATATAAAAAAACTGAAGTGGATCATGTAACTTCCCAGAACTTAAGTACAGTATATACCTCCTTCACTGACCGTGCTCCACACTGGCTTCTGCTGCACGCTACTCTCATCACATGATCTCTGACTATTTTTATAATGTATACATTTTAGTCTCATTTTTATTTCACTGAAGTGTGCTTGTTTAGTGCATTTTCAAGATTGGTTATTTTTTCTCCCATCTTATAATTTAGATATAAGTCTATATTCTTACACTGATCTCTGTTATATAGGTTAATCAAAGAAATTTTGCAATACAATATGCCCAAATGTAGCTGTACCTAAGTTTGCAAGGCTTCCTTTAATCTGCAAATAGATGGGCCTTGAGTAGAAAAACTAAGACAAGTGGGAAGTAAACCCTTGCTTAAATACATTATTGACTCGTATATTTGTGGTCATCTTCATGAAGGGTGTTAAGGCCAAGTGGTTATACAGCTCCAACTGTCATAAAGGTCGCTGATTCACACCCATGGCACCCCCAGTAAGGGCAGTGCCAGTCACGCTGCCTCCTGGTGTACTGAAGGTTTAGTTTTTAGTAGATAGTGTGCTGTACCCATACTGCACCTAACTAGCTGTCAGACCAATGGGACATATTTTAAGTAATTCAACTTCAAGAAAGCTTGTCCAAGAGTGATTTTATTGACAAAGTCTTCCAATAATAAAGTGCAATTAGACATTTAGAATTATCAAAAGATTTAGAATTAGTTCTTTATGTAACAGGATACATCAATTATGGTCCTGAAAAAAAATTCATAGCATTGATGTTAGATGTTTAAGTGTCGAAGTTGTATATCTAGATTAATGTATTTTGTTGGCATTGGGCCAACAGCCAGTTACTTATAGTTTTGCACATCACCATATGAGTGATGCACATTTTCTCCCTTCTTGAAGGAAGGGACAACAGTGATGATGAAGATGTCAGAATTGTGAAGAAACAAGCAAATTAACTTTACATTAGTTTGCAATAGAAATAATAAAGATTCGACCCTCTCCATGTTCCATAAGTAAAGGAAAAAATATAGATAACTGTAGGTAATATTAAGAGTATTACAGGATATGATAATGATGGTACTGTAACGTGCTGTTACTGTATATGGAATATCCAAGGTCAGTTTTATTTACCCAGTGACCTGAGCATCAGGGGCAACTTACTTTACTAGTGAAATATGTTCTTCACTGCATGGTAATTAGAGGGATCACCTGAAGATTAACCCCAAGTAAATTTCACCATATTAACCTAACAATAATTTTGCACATTAACCCCCCCCCCCCAAGGCAGAATTAGGGCCCTTTAATCATCAGATGAAATAAGCTTGAGGCCTAATCTTCAGCTGATCCAATTAATGTTACAAATCAGAAAAAAGTCTTCACAATTTAGCATGAATAATAACACCATAGCTCTCTGCCCATGGAATAAAACCTAATTGCATATTGTATCTATGTAATAAAGAAGTGAATCCCTTAATATACAATATAAGTGAATTCCTTGATAAATAATACTAACGAGCAGATAACTGGCGAAGGGGATAAAAGTAAAGAAGCCTGCCCAAAGTTTCATCCTGCATGGGGTCCGATCACTATGCAGTGAATTCCACCATACAGTATATAGTCAATAATAATAATAATGACTGATATTTCGTCAATTTGCCCAAGGATAACTGAAAAAGCTTTTGAGATTCTTATTTTCAGTACAGTCCTAATGCCAACAGCACTAAGTAATAAATAGCTATCAAATAGGGAGGTACCACCGCCTGGAAAGGTATTGGAAGCATGTGTTAACCAATGGTAGACCCTGCTGCCTTATGGCATCTCAAAAATTGTGACCAAGTCCCAAGTTGCTGATCTGACTGACAATCTGCCTCATTTACACACTTGCAGGGTCTCAATTATTACTCTTTGGCAACAGCATATACAATACAATACAGTATATCGTTTCTTACTCTTGATCCGTTTAATTTTTTTAATTCGATATTTATATTTGTATGGTGCAATTTGTTTTTTTTTTTCTCGCACTCCTCTCCGGCCCTCCTGTGGGTTAAATGACCTGTGCCCGAGGTGGGCTAACCCCCCCGGCACTAATGTGGGTTAAATGACCTGTGCCCGAGGTGGGCTACACCCCCACCCCCCACCCCACGGCCCTCCTGTGGGTTAAATGACCTGTGCCCGAGGAGAGCTAACTCCCCATTAAAAAAATCTGGTGGATACTCAAGTTTTTCTATCAGAAACCTCCCAGGGCAAACTTTTTTTTTAGAATGGAACGAGCTGATAAGTGGATGAGAATAAGACATGTTAAAATGGAAAATGCTAAACGATATATTTCGTGGTAACATTCAAACATTAATTAGCTTTGTCAGTATCCTGAAATTGGCTTTAAAGTTTGTAGCCCACTTATACTGAAGAAATATTCCATAAGAACGTAGGAGTCCCTAAAAATAGTGCGATGATAATTAAGCCTAATATCAAAGCCTCTAAACTCTAAAGGGTTAAAAACAGTTGTTACAAGATGGAGTTATAGTTCTTTATTAGACATTCCTTGCTACTCTAAAACTCACGTATACTGTCGACTTCATGATATATTTTTTAATGTTTTTAGGATTCATAAATACGAATAGTATGATAAATTTATAATAAAAATATGATATAAATTTTAATCCAGAATAGTGAGAATATTTGGTAAAATTTAGACATTAGCACAACATGAGTCCCAAGTCGACGGTCCAGAAAAATTTGACGATCAACATCAACAAAACTCGAGGCAGCCGGACGGTCGCTGTCTCTCTCTCTCCCTCACGATGGCTAAAACTAAAGAAACTAATAAAACGGACAAGAAGGAAGCGAAGAAAGATAATGACAAGAGTGATGGCGACATTAAAGAAGAACTTGTAAGTATCATAGTGGTAGAAGTAATCCATATAAAACAAGGCCTGTAGGTGGGCCTTGTGTGACGACATGAATATAGATTTTTTTTTTTATAATGTATCCAGTAATTTCGTTATATAAGTTTCATATTTGTTGAGTATATAGATAGGCAGTGCAGGTGAGGAAATAATGATAATCAGTAAGTGAATCCAGCTAGGAGTAGAATAAGGAAGATATTTTTCTTTTTTTTTTAATTATAGTTTATGAATATAATGAAAAAAGGTTTGTTACTATCATTGTTTTAAATAAAATGTATATATAAACTGAAAATTTACCGTATTTTGTTGCATTTATAGTTAAGTTTATTTTGTAACGGGTAGAAGTTTTGATATTTGTTTAGTCATCCCCAACTGATCTTAAAACTCCAGAGGAAATAATGGGTCATGTCAGAGAACAGATTTTTATTAGTTATAGTAAGTAAGGTTAATATTGTTTTTTTTATCCCGATAGGTATTTCGGATTTTTTACAATATTTTTATTTTTTATTTTTTTTATTTTAGCTAGGAATTGATTTTCTTCTATGGCGTTTATGGTGCAAATTTATGTTTTCAAGTATTATAACCGATAAAATTACTAACGATATTAGTTGCTCAAATTGGGCAGGGCCTTGAAGTAGAGGGAAAATGCGGGGTATAATACTAAAAATAACACCAAACAAACCTTTAAAACCTAACCTAACCTATATAAAATATTTAAACTATAAAGCACTTACCTTATTCTTGTTGTCGGTGTTTAATGTGTTGGTGTAGTTCTTGGTGTTAAAATGATGGGATCCATGAACTCAAAAGTGGTTTTTAATCTTTTTAAAGGTTAGGTAAGATCTTCAAAGGTTTGTTTGATGTTCTTTTTAGTGTTTTACCCCATTACTTATTCTTTTACTTCAAAGCCCTGCCCACTTTGAGCAACTAATATTGTTGGTATATTTGTATGGACTAAAATACAGAAAAATATATAAATTTGTGCCAGAAAGAAAATTGAATCATAGCTAATTAAGTATCTGAAATACCTATTTTAATAAGAACATCTGTGGAAAAAATAACAATATAGAACGAAATAGAGGGTGGTAAACCTGTGGAATGGTCTACCAGCCCAAGCTATGGAATTAAGAACACTAATGTACTGGGTTTCAAAATAGCCATTTGACAAAATTATCAAGAACAATGGAGGGATTTTACACAGGCTACAAGGCCACCTCTTGTGTGTGGCCATTAAGTAAGTAAAGTGAATATGGCATAAAAGGGCTAAGTCGGGCAAAAAATTACAGTATTCGGTGTTCTTAGGTAGCTTGACTTGGAATTCCCCCACCCTCTGGAATTTTCCACCCTGAAATTTCAACTAAACCTGACAGGCCTTCCTCCCCCCCCCCAATTATAGACTGGATTAGAGGGAATTGACTATCACAAATGGGTTTGTGATTATCTTCAATTTACATTTTATAGGAATTAATGTACTGTATTTGTTATGTTTGTAGTCAGAAGAGGATAAACAGTTACAAGAGGAGCTGAACATGTTGGTGGAAAGGCTACAGGAGTCGAACACTGACCTGTACAAGCCAGCACTGGAGCAGATCCGCTCTCTCATCCGTTCCTCCACCACCTCCATGACCAGTGTACCCAAGCCACTCAAGTTTATGAGACTCCACTACCAGACAATGAAGGTATTTACATTGTTGTTTATGGACGTATATGGGAAAATAAGGTTTCAGGTTCTCCATGTGGGATTCTTATAAGAAGTATGACAGCCTGCCATAGTTGATCATATGAAGCCCAAAAGAAAAAATCCTGTGTTGTGGCTGACCCTAATGATTTTATCAGATATTTAAAAAAAAAAAAGAATATAAAGATTTTTAATTTTAATGTTCCATCCTCAGAACTTGTAAAGATAATTGATTAATATAGGAAATTATTATGTATGAAAAGAGCTCATCAATATTAATGTCTGGACCTTCAGTTACTTTATCATAGTTGTTGAAAGGAAAAAAAAGGCACCTCTATTTTTTTCAGCCTCTTACCAGAATTTTATTTAATTTAATTTTTTAAGGCCAAACTATAAAGTACAGTACTCTTTACTTGGATCGGGAAATGAAAGCACGCACACACTGAAAGTAGATTTTTAGTTTTTATAAATTGTTTGATGCTTTTGCAAGGCTGAATTCTGTGGCGTTTCTACCACTTGGTTTAGAAGAGCAACCCTATGTTTACTTCTATTATTGACAAATCTTTGTCTTACCATTTTGGATATTTGTTCCCCATCACTGAATATTATGTGTACAGTATATGGTACTACAGTATTTTTATTCATACATTTGGCCACACTCGTGCAGTGTAAAGGACTGGTTTTATGGGTGGATCATGAACCATTCACAATGCTGAGTACAGTAATTGTTTTTATTATAGTAATACAATTTTGTACTGTATAGCAGATATATTTAGTCTAACCACTTTTCTTTAATACAGGAAATTTATGACAAAATGAAGGAGAATAAATTGAAGAAGTTCGCTTCTGACATTGTATCAGTTTTGGCAATGACTATGTCTGAGGAGCGGGAGTGTCTTAAGTACCGGCTGCTTGGCCAGCGTGGTGACATAGGTGCCTGGGGCCACGAGTATGTCAGGTGTGTACTCCTTTTTTCTCTTATTCCATATATAATTAGTCATAAAAAGATAATTCAACTTAGGCTTTATACTATATGAGGCTTGACATGATTAAATGTCATTTGTGCAGGTGGATGCAAGATCATAAAGAAAATTATATTACTTACATTACAGAATTCTTTACATTTTCAATAGTTAATGAAAAGCATAGTTGGTGATGTATCTTGAGAAATCAAAGATTTACATTTGGAATGGGAAGAAATCTTAATATATACTGTATATGAAAAAGATTTATCCTTATTATTCATTGTTGCTTTACAGGCATCTGGCAGGTGACATTGCTCAAGAATGGGAAACTCTTGGGGAAGATGATGATGCACGACGAGCAGAACTAATCAGTGAGGCGCATGTTATTGTCCCTTATCACATGCAGCACAATGCCGAGGCAGAAGCTTGTGATCTTCTGATGGAGATGGAACAGTTAGATCTCCTCACCTCACAAGACTATGTTGATAAAGTAAGGGAATAATTTTATAATGTGTAACTCACCCAGGGTTTCAACCATTTTTCAAGATTTTTTTCCCCTTTTCTTCTCCACTCCCACTTTTATTGAATTTAATGCAATGGAATTAAAACACACCTTCACAAGCTTTCTACTTGTAGGCCACAAAAAATCATACCAATTATTCTTCATGACATCTTTCTCTTTGAAGTAACCTACTCCTCTGTACAGCATTCAAGATGACCACCTGTTTGGATAATTTTTTAGTCATATTCTACTTACCGATTTGTACAAAACACATGTTCGACAAATTTAAATACAGTAATATATTAAGATAATAGTTGCCCCTAGTGTTTGAGGATGGCTGGCCTTAGGGCCACCTATGCGTCAATTTGTTTAAGGTGTAGAAGCTGTCTCCAACAAAACAACCACACCCTAAGTTAACTAGTTGCATGACCCAGTGTCAAGGAATAATCCAAAAAGACCAGATAACTTGCCAACTGCACTGGCTAACCATTTCCTCGGAAAGTGATTTGCAAATTGATTAATATCCAGGTTCCCAATTGATACTGGATAGACAAAGGCAAATGGTAAACTTTCTAATAGTTTTACCCTGCCTGGGGATTGAACCATTACACCACATGTATAGCAGTATTGGTACAAAATAGATGTACAGAAAAGGTTATCAAGTCTTATGATTTTTAAAAGCATATATTGGACTGTTTGTATGAAGTGACTCAGTTTACAGAACTGATCTGTTCCAGAAAACCCTTCATCAATCAAGGGTTGTCTGTACTGTACTTCTTTTTATATTGTTTAATTATCAGAACATAATGCTACATACTGTCCCACAATTTAAAAACCTTAGTGAACCTTTTTTAAACGTGGAGAAGCTTCAAAACTTGTTCACTGCAATGAGGTTGTCCTAGCACTATTTTTGCAGAATAAAAAAAATGAATTTAAAGGTTATTTTTTGTATAAAATGAGAGGAAATAGTGTAGGAGTTGTTACTTAATTTTTGTGTGTCATTGGGAAAGTTTGAAAGATTTAATAAGAAAAACAAGTATCCCTTGTGGGTAAGAAGAAGAGCTCAATAAATGATAAATACTTAATGTAAGTAGGTCAAGTGTTTTAAACAAAGGGGCTGGTGCCTAGTCATTTGGTCATTTGTTAAGGATACATGACATGAAATAATATACCTGTACTGTAAAAAGCTTGATTGTCATATCTTAACTTGTTTTTTTACTCTTTGTTTTACAGGATGCATACCAACGTGTGTGTTTGTACCTAACAAGTTGTGTGCCATATGTACCAGATCCTGAGAACACTAACTTGCTCCAAACATCCCTTCAACTTTACCGTAAATTTGGTCAGTACCCACAAGCTATGAGACTGGCTCTGCAGCTTCATGACCTAGAGCTCATCAAACAGCTCTTTGATGAGTGTCCAGATAAACTGGTAAGATTACAGTACTAGCACCAGGCATTGTGTCTCTTGAAAGTTTATATGGTTCAAGATTATTGTAATGTTCCTGAACAAAGATTTTGCTGTACAACACTTTAATCTCTTGTATGCCTAAGACACTGTAGTTAATTTTAGTGGACATTTATTGAATACAGTACAGTATTGCTGTTGCAGCCAGCAGTGACAACCTTGAAACCCCATTAGCTTGCCTTCTCATTTTAAATTTTGTCTTTGATACCTCTTGAATTTTTCTAAATCACATCCACAGTTAATGATAATGAAATGAAGCTTCACTTTCTTCAATACATTACATCATGGTGAAGGAATTTTAAGAACGTTTTATGAAAATTTTACCAGTTGTGCTGATGAGGTATTACTACCAGAGGAGTTGCAACTCTCAGGTGAAAATGCCACACACGTCTTTGAGAGAATGTCTGCCATTTGTGGTTTTATTAAATTTATCCGGTGAGTTTGTTAATTTTGACTTACATTATTTGTATGAAGGTCCAGAAGACCTGATGAGGTTGGCTGGGCTTATAATGTGATGGTTACTGACTGATTTTTTATCTGTTTTCTCAGGTGAGAATGCAAGTGGCATTCATGCTGGGAAGACAGCAAGTATTTTTGGAGCTGCCTGAAGAAATGGACGATTATGAAGACTTTACAGAGATCCTTTCAAACTCTCACCTCAACACCCACTTCCTCTCTCTTGGTCGTGAGGTGGGTTTCTTGTATACACTTTGAAGACATAGTACTTGCCGCTATCTAAGGAAAAGTTATGTGGTTTTCATGGAGACATTTATAAGATATGTTTAAAGGACAGCTTCAAAGGAAAACTACTTTTTCAGTTGACACAAATAAAGATTGGGCTACTTTGGTGTATATTCATTTAGTCTTCTACAGTATTGTCAGTATTTATAAATTTTTCACAACTATTTCAGTTGGATATCATGGACCCCAAGACCCCAGAGGATATATATAAATCTCACTTAGAGAACAACCGCCCCACCTTTGGCCCTGGTCAGGTGGATTCTGCACGTCAGAACCTTGCTTCATCATTTGTGAACGGCTTTGTTAATGCTGCCTTTGGAACAGACAAATTGCTTACTGAAGATGGAAATAAGTGGCTGTATAAGAATAAAGAACATGGTAGGTGATGGTGACTTATGTTTTTTTGGACATTCAGGAAGCAGTGTTGTTTCTGAGAGAATGTGAAGAGTATGGTAGTAATTGGTATTTGGAGATGGATGTGCCACTGATGGGTGATGCTAGGTTTTGTGAAGTGAAGGATAAATTGGGTATTGGAAGCTATCTTGTGGGAGGTAAATATTGTGGATTGCTACAAATGAAGGAAGAGTGTGTGATCTTGATTCTGGCCTCTGCATTATGATAGGTAAAGGCTTGGAAGCTTGAAGAAACATGCTGACTGGGTAACTCCTATGTATAGTATACTAATAAAAAATATTGAATATCTGATTGTCAGAATTTTTTCATTGGGTTAATTCATTTTGAGAATTTCGTATGTGTTTGAAATTTGAGAATTCTATTAAAGAACCAGAATGTGTATAACATTTTATTTGGTACCAGTAATTTATTTTTCTTTCTCCTACTCGTTCTAAGCAATCTTTTGCATCTTGTTTTCTTAGTATGTCTATAATTTTAGCAAATTCTTTTGTGTATTTGGACAGGTATGTTAAGTGCAACAGCATCCCTGGGTTTAATCCTCCTGTGGGATGTTGACGGAGGCCTGACACAGATTGATAAATACCTGTATTCGGCGGAGGATTTCATCAAGTCGGGTGCACTCCTGGCTTGTGGTATTGTCAACAGTGGCGTGAGGAATGAATGTGACCCGGCTCTTGCCCTCCTCTCTGACTACATTGGACATAAAACTATGGTGAGTCCAAGCTTAAATAACATCTTAGAAGAAGAATATGATAGAATAAAATGTTAAAGAAATTTTAAGTTGGTTTTAAGTTTCACAGGTAAAGTGTGTGGAATGGGAAAGAAAAGTTGGGTTAGATTAGGTTCTATGTGGGAGAAGAAACTGTGTCTATGTTAAATTGCTGGGAGTACAGTAATTAAGAGTTCAAAAAGTGATAGGATAATTGACAGAAGTGAATAGTTATCAGATTGAATCAAGTAAATAAAGTGATACGGTATATCAGTTTTAAAGAGGACAGTGGTAGAAGTTACTGTACACTTGGGGAAGGAAAACTCAAAAGAAAAATACTGTAGCTCCATTACCCTAGTATAGAAACTTGCATCAAAATCAGGCATTAGTGGATAGCATAGCAGATTATATACAATAAAATGACGTGTTGAGTTCTATTTTGGAAACATTCTTAGTACAGTATAGTGGAGCACTACATGTCTGTACAGTACTTGTATTTACCTGTGTACAGCTTTGTGAACAAGATAATTTAAACCAACAGCAACAGATATTTAACCAAACTTAGTGTATAGAACATCCTAGATAAGTTTAGTAAGCAATACAGCATTTTTTACCTTTATGACCCAGAGTTATGTCAGCCACTTGGATGTTGCTTTGACAGAAGGGTATTTCTCCACATTATTTAATTCTCTAACAAGAAGGTACTGTACTCCATAACTTTCTATGTACTTTCATTTCAGGTTATCCGAATTGGTGCCATCTTAGGCTTAGGTCTTGCATATGCTGGTAGCAACAGGGAGGCTGTACTAAAGGTGTTAACACCTGTGTTGTCTGATGAGAAGAGCTCACTAGAAGTTGTGGGTATCACAGCTCTTGCCTGTGGGATGATTGCTGTTGGCACCACCAATCAGCTGGTTGTAGAAGCTCTTGTTACTACTCTGTTAGCCAGGTCTGAGACAGAGCTCAAGGAAACCTATTCCAGGTTCATGTCTCTAGGGCTCGCACTCTCATATTTAGGTAAGTGTGCATGTCCAAGTAGACTTGAAAAAAATTTAAAAAAGATTGCAAGTCCTTCCACTACATGACTACTACTCTTGGTGAAGTCTTTAGTAAGCTTTGCTTTGGTGAATGTAAAATGTAACTTACATTTGTGATTTATTTGTTATTCACAACAGTAAAGTTCAATTTAATTGATCTGCCCCCTGAATATGAAATTACAGTACAGCAGTTTGCTTCAATAGTATACAGTATATGATTTAAACTGGTTACTTATATTATCTAAACTGTACTATAAAGAATGAAAAACCTATGGAAAATGGCTGTAATAAAGATATAATTTTTATCTCGTAAGGTTGCCAGGATAAGTGTGAAGTTGTACTCTCCTGTATTGAGAACCTCCCGGCCCCCTTCCGCCAGATGACTGCCACTCTTATTGAGGTGTGCGCTTATGCTGGCTCTGGTAATGTCCTGAAGGTTTGTAGTTAAATATTTGTTATTTTATGAGCATGTGGAGAGATCCTGTGTCTAATTCTTCTATTTTAACTGGATTCTGGACTACTGGATAACCACCCAGAGGTATACAAGTGGATGATCTCAATACATACTCATTAATTAAGGAAATTGGACTTCAGTAACAATCTCTCATTTTTGTTGCACTGATCCTTCTGTTATGGTGCCAATTTTACTTAAGATATTGCAGTGGGACATTAATTACCCTCAGTGATGTATGATTTTGTTCCCTTCCTTCAGGTTCAGGAGATGTTACATATATGCACAGATCACTATGACCAGGAGGAGACCAAAACCAAGGACAAGAAGGACAAAGATAAGGACAAGGATAAGGATAAAGATAAGGACAAGGATAAGGAAAAGGATAAAGATAAGGCAGAAGAGAAGGAGGTTGATTTATCATCGCAACAGGCTGTAGCTGTCCTTGGTGAGCTTATAGAAGTATTTCATATATTATAACAGTGATGTTTTAACTTTTATCTCTCCATATGGCTGTCCTAATTATCTCTCACTAATATCATGGAGGTGGGACATCAGGGGAACTGCAGTGGTGGATATGAATGACTAAAAGAGAAGGTAGCATTGAATAGTTTAGTAAGGTGAATTTGCTGCCGATGGGTAAATCAGAGATATGTCGGGTCCTGTAAATAACACACTTCTGTTACAGCAGTAGGAACAAATGAATAAGTTTATCAAGCTCTAAAATGATGAGCTTGAAAAAAGAGAGGTACTTCTTCTTTCACTTTCTATTAAGATATTCTCACCTGTATTCTTACCATTTGTAATGTGGTCTTTATTACACATTTCAAAATTCCAAAATTCACACACATATGACATCTTGTTAGCAAAGGCAAATGCAATCATGTTATCATTCTTCATACAGTATTTAGTTAAGAGCTCAAGATAATCCCTCCACAGATGGTTGATGGACTTCATTAGTTATAACCCATGGAGTTAAATATTTTCTAACTTAACTTCATCTTCTGTTCTTTGCAGGTATTGCTCTCATATCAATGGGTGAAGATATTGGAGCAGAGATGTCATTCCGCCAGTTTGGCAATTTGTTACGTTACTGTGAGCCAGTAATCAGACGAGCGGTACCTTTAGCATTGGGCCTCATTTCAGTTTCTAATCCAAGACTTAACATTCTGGACACCCTGAGTAAATTTTCTCATGACTCAGATGCAGATGTTGCACACAATGCCATCTTTGCTATGGGTCTAGTGGGTGCAGGTACCAACAATGCAAGGTAAAAATTTTTTATCATTCATGTTGGTTTCAATTGACATATAACTGGTTAGTATTGGCTTTAGAGGTTAGTTTGTATTATGAATTGTCATAAAAAGTCACCAGCCACAGTTTTCTTGTTCATTATTTTGACTTAAATGCATGTTAGTCTAAGTATCTTGACTTTTGCCCAAAATTGGATGACTGCCCAGTGAGAAATGAATTGTTGCATAAAATATAATTCATACTTTTTTTCTCTCTCCATTACTAAGCCTTGTCTTTGCAGATTGGCTGCCATGTTGCGTCAGCTTGCTCAGTATCATGCTAAAGACCCCAACAATCTCTTCATGGTGCGTCTCGCTCAGGGACTAACTCATCTCGGCAAGGGCACCATGACCCTCTCCCCTTACCATAGTAACCGGCAACTCATGTCACCAGTTGCAGTGGCTGGATTACTGGCCACCTGTGTAGCATTCCTCGACACTAAAACACGTAAGTACTCAAGCAGAAATAATTTGTTCACTCCTTTGAAATACTTATTTTATATTAGCTGTGGAACAACAACAACCAAAAAAACTAGATAAATGTACTGCAGAGAAACACGAAAGGACCAAAAACAAGAAGTAAACACACACACACACACTTGCTCATATCCTTAACATAAACAAAGTGAAGTCTTATCCTCCACATTGATTCACAACACTTCATCAACTCGCTATGTATGTGAAATAGTTGACAGATTCATTCATACGATAGGATATATATATTTATTGTGTGGTTTGTAAAGTTGACCATAAGAACTGGTTTCACAATGAATTTTTTCACCAGTGATTCTGGGGAAGAGCCACTACCTGTTGTACTGCCTCACCACAGCCATTCAGCCACGGATGCTTGTTACCTTTGATGAACAACTCAACCCTCTCCCAGTATCTGTCAGAGTTGGTCAGGTAAGTGTTTGATGGACAACAGTACTGTACCTGTACAGTATAAGTCAGTTTGCCTGTGTAGGAAATTTTAGAATTGGTTTTGTGTGTTGTGGAAGGGGAACACTTAAGCAGAACATATGGAAAGGAAATCAGGAAGAACAAATAACATAAATTTTCATTTTATGGGAATGAAGGCATTTCAGTGTTTTACCTCATTGTTAAGAATGGGCAGCTGCCTGTCAGTAGCAAGGCTTGTGGCCTATGCCATACTTGCTGTGACAGTTTAATCTTTGCCTCCATTATGACATATTGTACATATAGTTTTGCATATGAATATGATTAATAGATACTGTACAGTATGGGTGTTAACTGATAAAACGAAGTTATATTCAATCCATCCTTATTGTGAGTGATACAGATAACAGTATTGTATGTGTACATTTACATTACTTATGGTGTATAATTCTTCCACATATCTGCCTAAAAGTTATATTATGTTTTTGCCTATAGAGACACCATTTGCTGATGTTCTTAAACATGTGAAGCTAAATATGTTCTCATGGGATGCAACAGATATGTCATGCTTAAGAGCATGTGTGTCAGGTGAATAGGTATTGTGCTATTGCCATACCTTCCTGTTGTGAACTGTATGGGGGTAAAAATAGGTTGAATTAGCCAATTATATGAATTATGATAGCAAAATTTACTTGTTACTTTCAGTTTATCTACATAGTTATGCTTATATATTTTTATTTATTTCTTGTATTATTTTTGGGGGATATGTGAGTTAGTTTAATACTGTACCTAACCATTGATTTACAACTTACATAATGTAATCTTTTCAGGCTGTTGATGTTGTTGGCCAGGCAGGCAAGCCAAAGACCATCACCGGGTTCCAAACTCACACAACTCCAGTTCTCTTGTCTCATGGAGAACGTGCAGAACTTGCCATAGATGAATACATACCTCTAACGTCAATCATGGAAGGTTTTGTCATCCTGAAGAAAAATCCAGATTTTGACACATAGGAAGCTTTGGTAGGTTAGGGCAGTAGTAGTATTGATTATATTTACATTGTTCACGTTTTATATTTTGGTCAAAGCGTCGGTTTAAAGGCTCCTGTGTACTTCATAAATCCTCAGGTATATTCCAGTCCAATTTTAACTGGGGTGAGGACAAACACCAGTGTGAAGCATTGCTATAATTAAACCTTTTTTTTTTAATTTTAGTGGTGGTTTTGACAAATTATTTTGGACAGAACTATATTTTTTCTTTTATTATTGGGGTTTCAGTCTACACTAACTGAATACTGAATGGAAGTGTAAAGTTCAGATTTTGAAGGCTATACTATGAAGAGACTGCTTCATGCATTGTATGTAACAATGTAAGTAATATATGTCATTATTTGTATTTAATAAACAAAAAACAGGAATGGTTATTTATACCCTATACAAAATTGTACTTTGACACATTAGTATCTCAATTTTTACATTATTTAGGTTTCTTGTACAGGAGTTACATAAATTTCCCTTTATAGTAGTATATGAATTGAATGATCTGTCCAATATAACCCAGTAGTATTAATTGAAATGATAACAAGACTAACTACAAAAGGGGCAAGTTAATCGAGAAAAATGAGGGTCGAGATGTGCTGTGCTGAAGAGTGACACAAACACTGTCCAGTCTTATATTATAGGAGAGTCTTTGGCTGTAATATGTAGTGCGATGCCAATAATTTTACTCATGATATTATTTAACTGAACTGTGTAAAGAAAGTGGGTGATTGAATTCCCTTTTAACAGCTTGAAAGTTGTCATTTGGAAAAAAATAAAGTAGGCATTAAGAATATGTATTATAAAGATGGGGAGACTATTACCTGTAATAGACTACCGTCTTAAAATTTAAGTAATGAAGGAAAAGAAAAATTCCATTTAGTTTCTCTTTCATAATTTAATACTATCTAGTTTTGCCTCTTAGTGCTGAGTTTAATGTGTAGTAAACTAAGTTAATTAAATTGGACAATAAAGGATGGCCAGCTTCAGATTAACAAATGTGTTCATTTTTATGGAGATGATGGGAAGTGAAAGAATGGTGCAGTAAATAAGAAAATGTATGATTCAGAGTTGGATGGTAGGAGGGAGAGAGAAAGACAAGATATTGGAAGGATGCCCTGGAGGAGGGGTACGGACATTCAGGCTGATGGGTGATGCAGGGTTGAGCTCATTTGTTTCCTAACATTTTCTCTTATATTTTGAGGGGCCTCTCTTTCCTTTGATACTCCCCATTTGATAGTGAGAGAGAACCTGTAAGTGTATGGAACTTGCTAAAGGGAAAGCTGAATGTACCCTGTAAAGTGAGAATGCTGCAGGTTACAAAGTCGAAGGTCAATAAATAAAGCCATATTGTAGACATTGAAGGGTATGAGAGTGATGTCCTTGGGTAATAGATTATAAACTTTGTATCAATAATATCTTTGTTAATCTTTGATCATATTTCATTACCAACTACATGTGAAGGATAGAGAAGTATATATGACTGAACACCTACTGTATTGTGTGCCTTCCATCCCCACATGCACATAGATCAAGAACAACAGAAATCTCGGGAAAGAGCATGGGAGGATGTTGCAAAGGAAGTGTGTAGAAGCAACAGGAAAGGGTTGCAATTACAAAGAAACGGGAAATTAAGATTTACATATAGTTATATGATCACCTCGCATCTAATGTACAGTACTGTACTTCATTGTCTCGGGTGATTTATCACCAAGGCTTCTATTTCAAATATTTTTTTCCCTATTTCCAGACACTACACTCCAATATATATATAAGGTCTCTTGCCACTCCCCTCCTATATTCCAGTGATATTGCAATTTTTATGAATCCATCATTTGATCACCTGAAGATTAGCCCCCAGCTTTATGCACCTTAAGACTAACCTCCTTAGTGTTCACCCAAACTAACCTACCCCTTCTCCCCATGTAGCTTAGGGTGTTTAATCAAGGGATGAATAAGCTGGAGGGCTAATACCCAGGTGATCTTATTCACTAACAAAGAACATTTTTGGCCCTCAACTGTACCCCCTCCTACCCTTTTCAATTATATTTTCCAATGTTGGCACTCATATTCTACGTATCCATATCATTTTGATGTAAAATGTACTTTTGTGTCTATCTTTTCGAGGATACCTCACCTCATACATCACTATCTACTGTATATGTCTGACGTCTTTTCTCTACTGAATATTTATCTATCTTTTTAAACAAACTTATTCTCCCATGATGTTAGCACTCATTTTTGCTACAACCTTTCTCCATATACAGTGGACGAGTAGAGGGGATGTGACGTTCTTTCGTCCCATCACAAAGCACACACTCACTCCCCGAAGTACCGAGAGCCAGTCCACTGTTATTGCAACCCTGGGGCATAAATTCTCAAAGGTTCGTAGGCTGAGTTTTCCTCGTAGTTACGTTCACTTGGCACCAGTGAGAGAAAAATCTTTCATTAGTCTTTTGTACGTCAACAAACACATGTAGAAATACAAACCTATGCATATATATTTTATTGCACACTGCCGTAATACAATCAATAAGAGTAGACGAAGCACACATGTAATCCAATCCACACAGACACTTATTAAATACACGAAACGCAATAATTCACTACTGTATTTAACTATGTAGATATAAGGTTAAGAAATTTTGTCAATAGATATTCATAATTCCGGACACCTACTGTATTATGCACCTTGTAGAGTTGTAGTAGTTGACGGTACGTGAGCTTGTAATGTCTCTATAACCCCCACACACACAGACATGCGAAAAGGAAAACCATTATAAATGAATTGTATTTTGAAGGAAAATCTATCTAAAATATTTTTACTGGATGTAAGGTACACTTGTTAATATTGAATTAGGCCTAACCAATGCGGAATGCCGGTTTTAATTTTCATTGTTTGAAATGTGGCTTCGAGTTATCATGAATATAGAGTGAAGCAAAATGGATTTTTTTGGGACAACTACTTTGTCCAGCCAAGAAAAATATTTAAGTTGATTTTCTAATTCCTCGGGGCATACAAAGTTCCTGGCATCACCCCCTTTTGCGTCGCAGCTCCAGCGTCCACTAAGAGCACTGCGATAAATTTACTTGTGCGCAGCAGGTGCCATATTCAAGTAGTGCGACTCTGCAACCGAAGTCTATATAAACAAATAGTATAAGAAACTTATATTGTCTTCATTTATTACGAAAACTATAGAAAAAAATTTACAAATAGCTAATATGTATCCAACATATCTATTAAATGTGTTGAAGATTTTAAATATCTTGAAACGTGGCAACGTCCCAGAAACACGAAACGTAAACATTGAGCTGTTCCAGCGACCGATCGTACTCTTGTACTATTAGAATTCAAGCCATTGAATTTTCTTTTCTTTGGTGCGATAGCTGTTATAATTATTATTTGTTTATATAAACAGTTAAATAAAATACATTCTGTCGAATTAGATGCTTATTATGACTGCTAAAACTAAGTGAAGCAAGATGCCGGCCGGCAAGATTTGACAAGCGAATACGGGGAGGTAGTACTGTCGGTGGAACCAACCAAAACACAGCTGACATAAATCATAAATTACACGATTTTAAGCATGATTGTACCTTAGTGGACAATGGAAATAGAATATTGTAATCATAACACAATATTCCACCATCGTACATTTATTTGAAAGTGATTGTTTACGTTGTCTTAGAGAACGTTCTTTGTTTTGATGGAGCTAGCAATCCCGGCTTGCTGACCAATCAGAAAACTGGGTCAGGGATGCGGGGACCAATCACGTTCTAAGTTGGAGGTCACGTGGTTTTGTTGTTGTTTGTCAGCTGGGCCGCGGAGCCGCTCAGCTGATTTCACATTCAGTTCCACGCAAATGTATATCGCGGTAGGACCTGTGTGTGTCCACACCCATATGGGCATTTATATTCAAGATAAAGACACTTCTCGGATTGTAACATAGCAGTGGGAATTTGTTGCGATTGTCAATACAGATTGTTATCCCCGTGAACTGTATGTGCATGGAAAATATTTTCTTTAAACAATTCAGTGTTAACAAGTACTTAGTGTTTGTTGTTCACTGCCAAAATAATTAGAAGGAAGCTATAATTGTGAGTGTTCAAGATGTCGACTGGGAAGCGTTTAGCAAAGAGGTCTATCCTCGGGACCCGCGTGGCTTGCTGTTTGGAGGATGGAAAATATTATGCTGGCGTTATTTGCGCCGTGAAAGCAGTTGACGATGGTGGACCTACCGTTTATTCTGTTCGTGTGGAGGGCGACAGACGGTCAAGAGAGGTGCGTGAGACTGACTTGGTGGGGAGTGGCTTCACTCCAGTAGGATCTGTCAAACTGCGTGCTGGTCAGCGTGTATTCATAACGCACAATAATCGTGAAGTTTGTGGTAACGTTCTCTACCACCGCCCCAACATTGACGAAGTTCTCATCTCTGTCGTCAACCCAGAGGTATGTTTTGTATCTTCACACACAAAGAGATCTTCCTGTAAGTTACTCTTGTCACTTGAAAGGTTGTTCAATTCATGTATTAATCTGAGTTTGATGAATGGCTAAAGCTTAAATTCGATGACAACTCTTGTTATCGGAATGTTTGCAACAAAATTTGGGAATTGGGTTCACCGACAAGTTCTGTTTTACCTATTTTGTAAGGAAACCAGATATCCAAAGCAGGTTTTCATACAGATTTGCTACTAATCATCAAACTAAAACAAGGATTTGACTAAGGGGAGTGTTGTTGGTAAAATTGGAAGAGATAAGTGCAACTAACAACAGGTAAGGTTATGTATTATACTGTAATGTGGGATTATTAAGAGTAAACTAGAATTTCTCTCGGCTATACACATCGTCACTTGGTGTAGATTAACCTATTGATCGAATAAGTTTTTTTTGTGGGTTCTATTGCCCTTTTAAGTCCAGTTTTCCTAAGCTATGCCCAATGTTATTAAAGGCGTGTAACTAAATACTGTTTAGAACATGGATTTGAACTTTTGTAAAATTTCGATGTGAAGAATCTTTAAATAGTTTGTTTCACTCGGACACAAACTATGAACCTATTTACAACCGTTCTTGGCTCCTGGTGAGATACTGAACTGGTTGAGTTGGTATAGACATGGATTAATTTAAATAAATGTAGCAAACATTTATCTGTACTAAATTACTGGATTAAGGACTTTTGCATACGCTTCCACAGCCGTCAGTTGTCTAGTGACGATCTGCAATATTCTTTGGTTTCAACTGACCATCTGGCGTTGGTCTTTGTCTTGATTTTCTTCTGCTTGGTGATATATGCCCGCTCTTAAAGGTCTCCTTGGTTCACTGTTGATCTGGCCTTAAAATAGTGATTCATTCCTTAGTATGAAATGTGTGACCTGTTTCTTCGGTATACACAAAGGAGTACAGTCGTATACAATGATGGATACCTACCACCGTCACGTCACTTCCTCGGCAATTATCTTCTCTTGGTTATCTGGTGACGGACTTCCCAGTTAGTACTATACAGTTTCCATCAACTCGCCTGTAAATCTTTCGCGATTCTAGATTGTTAACAGAACCTTGGATTCTAAACTTTTTTTTTTATCCATCAAACCCCATTTTATATCATCACACTCGTTTAGTTAGTGGACGTATTTTGCATTTTGTTCGTGGGGCACCTGAAGATTAATACCCCTTGCTTATTTTACCTTAAGATTTACGACCCAAATGCTAACCCAATCTAACTTGAGGGGTCGTGATTGGCAGTGATCCACGAGAGTTTAAAAAGTGACAGGCAGTATATCCGGTATCTACGTAATAATTCGTCAGTATCATAAAACAAGTGTAATTTCCCTGAACATCTGTGCTGGGTGAGGTATTTTACTTTATATTGGGTGGCCCCCAAAAAATAATAGGATCCCCTGAAGATTAACTCGTCTGTACATTTCACTTGATTAAACACCCGAACGATACCTAAAGGGGTCAGATTATTTTAAGTTGCTGTTTAGGATGGTTAATCTTAAGGTAAAATAAACTGGGGGGGTTAAACGTTAGGTGATCAAAAAATATATAGTATAATCGTAAACTTTTATTGTTTCATTTCGGTACAGTATATGAATGATTCATATTGAGTCTTTTTTTTATTATTATTATCAATCTCCAACCAGAAGTAATCAAGCGAAACTTTTTTTTGTCTCGTCCACCAAGCGAAACAACTCAGACTGGGCGGGGAAAATACAGAGATATTAACAGAAATATGAAGGAACTAGTTGATTCTAGTTCGTAAACAACGTCAATTCGTGAACCTAATTGCCAACTGACATTTTTTTTTGTGTGTAACGAAGCCGCAGTCTAGTTCTTGATAACACTGTTTGTTGTTATGTTAGTATACACCGATGAATATATTGACAGTAAATGCGTGTGTTTTTCTGTAGTACTAGACTTCGTTTTCTGTTACAGATCAAAGTTTTAACATACGCGGACAAAGAAATTCACTTCTGGATGTTTTTCAATTTGCAACTTTTTTTTCTTCATACAGTCGACCCAGACTGGTTGACCTTACCACCGTGAATGACCTTGCCCGGTTTCCTTGTATGACGCAGCGAGTCAACTTTCAACTTTGACCTATAACGAGGAAGCTTATTTCCATGCCAGCAAAATCTAATTTTATCTGTTGTGTAATACTGCATTAATGAGTATTGGCTAAACGCGATTCATTTTTGGGTTCCTTCTTCGCAATAAAGAGCAATGCCTTTTGTAAACTAACACAGGTGGCACCTACTTGATACGTGAGCCTCGCTGTTTTCCCTGGCTCACTTATGGAGTTTTGCACGTGAGAGGGATACTTGTTCTGAGTTAACGTAGCTCATGATCAGTGTTTTTCTTTGAGCCATTTGTGTTATATTTTACAGTATCTCGTTTTATCTTCATTTAGCCTTAATACTGTCTGTGTTATACTGTAACTTTACTTTCTCTCTCTCTTCTTTCTCTTACCCCCTTCTACCTCACGTGTCTTACCTGTTCCTCTCATACACTTTCTCTTTCTGTAGACACTTTCATTTTCTGTCTCGTCTCGGCGCGTCTTTATCGTTGCTTCATCCCACCTTCACCCGTCCGCCGTCGATAAATAAACACATTTTATAATTTGCGTTATTAAACTACATATAGTGATGAATTTTTTATTCTGTTAAATAGTTTGTGTAGAGAGGGAGAGAACATGTGTGGGAGTACGTATCTCACTATCAGTCTCACATCCTGTGGCTGAGCTGTGTTAGGTAGCCTTGACACATGTACCGCTCAATATACCACCAAACTTTAAGTATTATTACTGGTAATAGTTACTCGTCATTTTACTCAACTTATTGCGAAGTTCATATTTGATTTAGTATCATATAACATAGTCCCACATGGAATGAAGGAAACGTTACTCCTGTATGCAGATTTATGCAAAAAAACAACAACTGTATCTTGTATGATTTGATGTTTATGTATGATTGCCTCCAGTTTGTATAAAGGTAGAGCGTGATTATATGTGTAGTGTACCTGTTTGCCCCCGGCCTGCCCTGGGAGGGTCCGTGGTGCTGGTGGACGGAGATATGGGTACGCGACCTCAGCTTTAGTTCGTACTCCGAATGTACCCAGTGTTTTGCTTGATTCTGCTGCCAGGTTTAGTGTTGCTTTTGGGTGCCATGACAAAACAGCTATTGAGTTTCATTGTGATTATTGATACTATAAGTACATACAATCATTACAGACAGACCTTTGGTGATTGGATCATTGTAGCGTAGTATGTTCTTTGTTGTAAGGTGTGATGATGATGACTACCTGTTACTCCGATTTTGCAACCGTTGAGCGTCCTGTCAGGTTTGAAAAGGAAGAAAAGATCCCCCCCCCCAACATGTTAGATGAATTGGAGTATTTTAATCTGCATTACAAGTTTTATTTCTTTGCTTTAAGTCTGGTTGAGACCCGCCGTTATACACTTACCCAGGGATAGTGTATGGACGGCTTCATACTGTAGTAAAGTAGGAGTGATGTATTGTTCTTGCAAGACCTGTAAATGGGAACGGGAAGTGAAAGTAAAATGTAATTCACTTAGCTATTAATTAATTATAGAATAAAGGGCCCAATTTGTTTCATTTCCTCATCAGATCACCTGAAGATTAGACACCCCAGCTTATTTCAACGGAAGATTAACAATCCTATCGTTAACCTAGTTCCCCTAATGAACGTTAGGGTATACCGGTGTGTGTGTGTGAGACGACTGCAGCTTGTGGGACCTTGAATGCCATAGTGAAGGATGTACACAGGGAGAGCTGGTAGAGTCCGTCGGCGAGGGATTGATAGTAGTAGGTAGGAGTTCGTCGGTGGATCACATGTACAGTAACCGGTTTGGCGTCATATTCAGTTCACACACACACACACACACACCAAGGATGATGACATGCTTGGGGGATTCCTGCCCTGTCACAACAAAGCGCTACCTTACTGGTGGAGGCTTGGTGACAACCCTGGTGAGACGGAGAGTAACTGGTGTATGGGTGGGAGAGCTAAGTTACCCGTTTTGTTGTGGACGTATTGATTCACCTGTCTGCTGAGGATCTTTTCTCGTTTTAGGAAATGAAGTCGTCAGTATAGTATATTTTGTAGCCTTCCTCTCTCGGGGATTATTAAAAAAAAAGGCAATAACGCTATTTAATGAACAGTACTCCAATATCAGTGGCGACGAATCATCTTAAATACATCAGAACATTTACATAAGTTCAGAGAAATATGTGTATATGGTGTGGAAAATTTTATGCTAGACAATTTGACAACGGACGAAGGATTTTGACAACCCTACCAAAACAGGAGTTGCAGTGTTTATTTTGACATCATCGACCTCACCTTGTAGATACTTTTTGTAGCGAGTGTACAATAAAAAAAATACACACTTAAAGAATTGAGAGATAGTTTGATTGATACAGTTAATTGAGAGAGATATAATTGGAGGGGAAAGTAATAGAAGTTGTTGAAAGAAAAGTGCCTCATCATCTGACTCGATGCATCGTTCATTGATTCTCTAGGTGCGACGACGAATCCTTCCCTCCCAGTCTCAGGTATCGAACCCGGATTCTTCAGGTTTCTCTAATTAGTCTTCGTCTTGGCTCCATTTGGATGCCCCGACCGGCCTTCCTTTTCACATTGTTTATAAGATATTTTGTCGTTGGATTTACACACGAGAATAAAATTAGCGCACAATTTGTTGGGAGAGAAAATAATACATTGCAACTCATGTTTCAACTTACAACAATGTGGTTAAAGAATGGCGACGTTTGTATTGTTTCCCTGGCGTTAAACACCACTGAAACACCTTCTGTATCAAAGCTATATTTTTTAGTTCCTCTCATAAAAAAGAACAGTTTATGTCGCCATTTACGTAATAGCAATGTTGCCAAGCCTGGGGAGATTGTAACATTACCCCATCACAGTTTAGA